TTTTTATTCACCTGGTATGTTTTTTTACAATTATTTAGTAAAGGTACAAAAATTTTGCTAATAAAAGCCACAAATAACATTGAATAGAGTTACAATTTAGGATACAGCTTCCTTGTTTCCCCTTTTAATAGCCTATAACAAAAAAACTAGTAAAATTGTTTTTCCAACAGAAATAAATAGAGTCAAAGTGCAACATTTAAACCCTCATAATTTCGAAATTTTCATAGATAAAATTTTGTTTAACATTTTTTCTATGTTTCTGGTATCTTACCTTATTTGACATTTTTCTCTGGGGCGCGAGTTCTGGCGCAACCTGTATTTTCAGTTTATATATTGAATAACAATAAAAAAATTAAAAAATACAATTAAGATTTACGAATTAATTTGGTACAGTAATATGTACATACATTTGTGTTTTTATTGAATTTTTATGCTAAAGAAAGTCATACTTCACAAATTCATGAAATGGTACATTAATTTATATAATAAAAATAATAGGTTTTTATTAAACGAGAACATTGACAGAAGCAAAATTATGGATGGAAAAAATATGCCGTTCTGCTTCACCGAGTCGGTATTATGTAATTGTTTATTAATTAGATATTATTGGGAACATTAATTTTTGCAGTTTTCATTTCCTAAATTTCTGAAAAATCGATTAATTAATATTGAATTTATTGCAAGTTTACAGTTTTTTTAATTAAAAAAATATAATGCACATAAATAAAGTGTTTTTTTGTGGCCTGCTGAGCTTTTTGTTTGAATTAGCAGCAATTTACTGTTGGCAAAGAATCTGATAAAATCTTTGTTAATTTTTCATAATCTTTGTGTGCGTAAGGATAAGGATATGGAAAAGTCATTGCTTAATTGTTTTCAGTTTCACTAATAATGTTCTAATAAATATTACGTGATTTTTATTATTTACGCCCCATTTAACAAAATAAATATGGGAAGAGTGATGAAATTGGATCAGTAGTATTTTGAATAAACGTTTCAGTTCTGCCAATGCGAAAAAATGGGAAATCGAATTGGCCACGTTGAAAAGCAACAATGCTAGACTAACAAGTGCACTTCAAGAAAGCACGGCGAACGTCGATGAATGGAAACGACAATTGGCAAGTCTTAAAGAAGAAAATATGAGAATGAAAGCGAAATATCAAGCAGATTTGGAAAACAGTAAAGGTAAGTAGTGGAGATTTTTCAATTGTTTATTCATATTGGTGTAATAAATGACGTTTGATTACATAATAATCGGCTAAAATCGACATATGGCAACTGCATTTCTGCAATATGGTAAATGAGAAAGCAATCAAATGATAATTATTGAACAATTTATTTGAGACGTGGATTTAATTTCTCCCACAATTATAACAATTGAGTTTTTTTTTATTAAGGTGGTGGCGACATTGCTGACGAGCTACGCCAAGAAATCCAGTCTTTGCGAATTCGATTAGAGCAGCTGGAGGCCGAGTTGGATGCCAAAAATAACGAATTCAAGCAACTGTCAGCGTTTCAGAAACCGTCGGATATCCAGGTAGAGTTTTAGGAATGTAATTTAGCCCAGTCAAATTAGACAAAAATAGGGCGATCGGTGGAAAAAAGTCCTAGAGAGGTGGATTTTTTTTTAAAACGCTTTCTTTATTCTTGGGTAGACATATCAAAAGTCCCCGAAGGTGGGGGGGGGGCTAAAGGTGTCTTTTATTTTTTTGCTTATATCTCGGAAACTATTACTCAACGGTTTTTGCCTGCTTATCAGTTATAGAGAGTTATAGGGCTGAACATCATTTAAAAAAATGTGCTTTATCCGCATTTAAGACAGAATTAATCTTGTGATTTGAAAAAACTGAAAGCAAATTGAATTTATTGGGTGTAACACTTCATTAGAGAGTCTATAAAGTCTTCCGAGTCGTCCTCATATGCTGCATCTTCGTCTTCAACTTAAACATTGAAAACCGAATTACAGTCTTGTTCAGTACAATATTAATAAATAGATGATTTAATATCGTTGATTTGAATAAAGCTTACAGTAAATTGAATGTATTGGATCCAACAGTTTATTAGAGGTGCCACGAGGGTCTATCAAGTCTTCCGAGTCATCCTTATATGCTGAACTAGCATTTGCTTGCGACTTTGTCCACGTGTATTTCTGATTTAAAATGGGAAAAAGCCCGTTCACAAAACCATTCCATAGGCTTAGATACTTTTATAAAGCTAGATAATTACCTATGTTATGTGTAGGATTCAGTTACAGTAGTCTCGTTCTTCGCATGGGCTATGTTTATGAATAAATATTAAATGTTGATTTTCATAGTGTCGTCTCAGTGCACTTCTGCACTCTCAAAATTCGAAATTTCATGTTTCTAATTTTGTTTTTAAGCGTTTAAACTCTATTTTATTTCATTAAAATTTGAAAAGTGCACTTCTACACTCTCTAAGGATCATATTTCTTAAATTTAATGTTTTTATATCCCTTTAAATGTGTACACCGTTTTATTCCCTTAAAAATTAATTTTCGAAAAATCTGATTTTAGTGCCCCTTTACACCTCTAAAGGATTTTATGTTTATATCTTTGTTTAAACATTTACACCCCATTTAACCTACTTACAGATTGATTCTCTCTTTCATCCAATTTTTTTTCACCTTTCAGGCAGACCAGCTTAGTCGAGGAACGCTCTACACATATAAATACAGAGTGGTTATAAATGATTTTCATCTAGCCAGCTTTGGAATTTTTTTGCATGTAACTTTATTTGTGCCGCTCTACTTTTTTGAAAGCTCTAGTTCTGTCATTAGTGTCACTTATTAATTAATAATAAATTGTTGTTAATTAAACTTTTATTGGTTCAACTAATTTCCAATAATAATTGATAATAATGTATACTTTGGAAGAAAACAAATTTATAATTGAAGTCTATTTTCGAAGTGGACGCTAGATGAAAATCATTTATAACCACTCTGTAGTTACTATATATTAATGAAATGTGTTTCAAAGGATTTTTAATGCAATTTTATGTAGACTCCAAACTTTTGAAGCCTACGGTTGGTCCTACGACAAAAATGAATAGGACCATTTTTGTAGGAAATTTTGATGTAGAAATAGACTTTTACAGAAAATTCTGCATAAATTACATAAACGAGCAGTTTGTATTTATAGACCCTCGTGACTCCCCCTTCCTTTAATGAAGTATTGGATCCAGTAAATTCAATTTACTGTCAGTTTTTTTTTTTAATTACAAGACTAATTTATGTTTTAAATGCAGATAAAGCCAATTTTTTTAAATAATGTTTTTTTTTCTGCCCTATAACTCGCTTACGGTTAGTCTTACAACAAAAATGCAAAGGACCATTTTTGTAGGAAATTTTGTAAGCTTTAATTTTGATAAGAAGATAAAAACCTATAGGAGTGATAATTTCCGAGATATAAGCAAAAAAAACAAAAAAAGACACCTTTAACCCCCTCACCCTCCTCGAGCTCGCTCCCCACCTTCGGGGACTTTTGATATATGTCTACCCAAGTGTAAACAAAGCGTTTAAAAAAAATTCCAACTCTCTAGGATTTTTTTCCACCGATTTGTCTAATTTGACTGGGCTAATTCGTTTAATTGTTTTAAAGGGGTTGCAGAAAGAAAACCAAGAGCTTCAAGCGACCGCAAAATTGGCACAGTCTGAATTGGACATTGCTCTCAGCGCACATGAATCTCAGCGACAAATCCTTCTGACGTTGAATTCGCAATTGGCGTCTCGAGTACAAGAATTAGCAACGATCCACGACGAAATCACCACCGCTTTGCAGACGTGAGAGCTTGGAAACAGATAGCATCGTAATGTACGCGAACGCATTTATATTGCATATGTATAGGGTCCGTGTAATATCTTGCTTAGGTCTATAACTATGAATGTCTCGAAAAATTATAATATTCATAACGTACGTACTATCGGTTACAAATTTTATAAGTATTGTTTTATTATTTATTTACAAAGTGCCACAGCACAATCTAAGTTGTCTAATGTCCATGCATTTATTGAGATTGTGATGTGTTCAGACTGTGCGACCTATACATGGGTCGCACAGTTGGCCAAAACGAACAAAAGTCGATTGTTTGATTCAAATGCAATTTTTGGTTGTGCAAATGCCATTTAATTGTAAGATTTTCCAGTATCAAAGCATTTTATACGTAACAAATGCGTACTGTTGTGCAGCTTTCAGTATTTTGTTAATAGTTACAGAATTAACATATCATCAGTTATAACTTTTATTAAAATGATGCGTTAATTTTGTTACTATTATAGAACGCACATATTTTATTTTATTAAGTATCATTTCTTCATTAAGATTGACTGATTATTTATTTATAAGTTAAAAAAGTATCATTTAAATCAAAATAAGTCCTCATTTAAAGTAAATCATAAAAACGTAGTGAATTACATACTATTAAGTTGCCATTGAGAAATAGGGTTTTTAGTAGCCAGAGTCAAAACACTTACTAAGCTGACAATGCACATGTATTCTTACAAAAGTTTTTATTTATTTGTTATTTAATTGCTCGAGAGATATTTTTGCAGTGCGTTGTTATAGTTAGTTGAAATGTCTCTTGAGCACGTTTTTATGTTTTTAACGTGACTTTCAAAGCAACAATAATGATAATAATGGAAATTTCTTAATATTGTACCAATAGAATTCAGTGCTGAAAACATATTGTACTATAGGCAGAGATTTGTTCTAATAATAGGATGAGCTGATTATTATTATGTTGAGATTGTTAATAATGAAGCAAAACTGTTTTTAATTTTTTATTTCTGTATAATGCAAGACCAAAATGTATTAGGCGATTTTGTTGGTAGAAATAGATGATTATTAAAAAACTGCTTTGGCAATCCATTAAAAACACCCACAACCGAGTAATTTTCCGGTGCTTCCCCAAACTAGTTATTTTGATTTTTGACAAAGAACTAGAATATACAGGGTGCCCCAGAACTTGCGCCCCAGAGGAAAATGCCATATAAAGTAAGATACCAGGAACATGGAAAAAATGTTAAAAAAATTTGATCTATAAAAATTTCGATGTTGTAAGGGTTTAAAAGTTTGCACTTTTACTCTATTTATTTCTGTTGGAAAAATAATTTTCCAAGTTTTTTTGCTATAGGCTATTAAAGGAGGAAACAAGGAAGCTGTAGCCTAAATTGTAACTCTGTTCAATGTTATTTGTGGCTTTTATTGGCGAAATTTTTGTACCTTTACTAAATAATTGGAAAAAAAAAACATATACAAGATCATCAGTACCATTAAATAGACATAAAAAATGTCCAAATGTTTTGACAGATAGAATTTTTTGAACATTTTTTTCATGTTCCTGGTATCTTATTTGAAATTTTTCTCTGGGGTGCGAGTTCTGGCGCATCTTGTATATGATGGGCACAGAGAAGGAGAATTGGCGTGGAAGGGGTAAGATTCCATGCAGATTTTACCTGCTAGTAAAAGTAGGCAATGTTTTCTCTGTTGTATTAAAAGTTGCCTGCCGCAAAAAATTTTTTTTTAAATATTGACATAATTTTCTCGTTTTTTATTAATAATTACAATTGTAATATACTTAATAGTTTTAATGTTTTTTTAAATAATTTTTGTTTTAACAGAATTAAATGATTTAGTGACGACATTGCACATTGTGTGATAAAATATCTTTTTTTATGAACTCTTGATTGCTTATTTGTACGAAGCACTATTTTGTGTTTTAATGTGATTGTTTTATATGTTTAATAACGTTTTTTTTTTAAGTTTAGTTCTAAATTTAATTTCAAACCTTTACTAAAAAAACAATGCTACATTTAGATTTTTTAGAGTAAAGTATGTCACAAATTTAAACTTTCTATATAAAGAAAAAGAATTCTGTGTTACACTGGATTCCAGTGCCAAATTTAGTGCCAAAACGCCCCTTTTTTAGTACTATAGGTGTATTGTTGATTGCATAATTTAGTACCAGTTGCAACTGCTCATCTCCTTCCATCCTATCCTTGTTCTTTGGTTTGAGGTTATGTTAGATTAGATTTCTTTTTAGGTTAGGAATGTAAAAGCGACAATTTTTCAAGACTAGAGATTAACTCTTTTAATCATGTCTAATAAAAGAAAACCTGATTCTCAAGTCCCGGCCGAAGAAAGTGACCTTTTAATAATTAGGCCACTGTAATTATTGAAAAAATTCAGTTTATAGTTTTGTGATGTTGTTTTTCAGAGGCGCCGGTCAAGAAGTTGGTCGATCTTGTATAATGCTTGAATTTAAAGGAAAAAAAATTATGGTCAGTGTGAATAATTTTTATTCATTTATAAGATAATTCAACTTCTAGCTTGATTGTGGAATTCATCCAGGATTATCAGGCATGGATGCGTTGCCTTTCGTTGATTTGATTGAGGCAGACGAAATCGATTTGTTGCTTATATCTCAGTAATAATACTACATTTTTTAAAATCAATAAACATAAAGTTGAAATTCTAGCTTCCATTTAGATCACTGTGGGGCTTTACCTTGGTTTTTACAAAAAACAAGTTTCAAAGGCCGTTGCTTCATGACTCACGCCACCAAAGCGATTTATCGGTGGTTGTTGTCAGATTATGTAAAAGTCAGGTAAGTTATTATTACAAAAACGATTAAAACATTTATGTATGAATTTGTAGCAACATTGCAACTGAACAAATGCTCTACACTGAAGCTGACTTGGAAGCTAGTATGGATAAAATCGAGACAATTAATTTCCATGAGGAGAAAGACGTTTTGGGGATCAAATTCTGGGCTTACAATGCAGGGCATGTCTTAGGTGCCGCCATGTTTATGATTGAAATCGCCGGTGTTAAAGTATGACAATCAAAAGTTGATTCTTTTTAATGAAAATTTTGTTTTAGATATTATACACTGGCGATTTTTCGCGTCAAGAAGACCGTCATTTAATGGCTGCAGAGATCCCAACAGTTCACCCTGATGTCCTAATTACAGTATGATTTAAAATTTGGAATAACCCTTCATATAACTAAAATTACAGGAATCTACATATGGTACCCACATTCACGAAAAGAGAGAAGAACGTGAAAGTCGTTTTACAAATTTAGTCCACGATATAGTCAACAGAGGCGGTCGCTGTTTGATTCCCGTTTTTGCCTTAGGCCGAGCGCAAGAGTTGCTCCTGATTTTGGACGAGTATTGGAGCCAACATCCCGATTTACACGATATTCCCATCTATTACGCCTCCTCATTGGCTAAAAAATGCATGGCTGTGTATCAGACTTACATCAACGCCATGAACGATAAAATTAAGCGACAAATCGCCATAAATAATCCGTTTGTGTTCAAACACATCTCGAATCTGAAGGTAAGTTTCAGTATAATCGTTTTCATATTATTGTGCATCGAAGTAGTCGTTGAAAGGGATCATTTTAAGGTGGCAACCTTGCGAAAATTCAAACAATCCCAACCTTAATCTTCCCTAAAAATTATTTTCTCAAATAAATATGTATATCCAAGTTTTTGAGGTAGCAAAAAATAATTAAAATTAACAACGGCAAACATAAAAAATTGTATCATTATTGATGTGATTAAATTTGTTCTGAATGTCATTAATGACACTTTTTGTGTGAATTGGCCTTTAAATTAAACATGCATTTGGACTTCTACAACCTACTTTATGCACATTAATATGAAAAAGAGTGTTATACAGGGTGCACCAAAACTCGCGCCCCAGAGAAAAATTTCAGGTAAGATAAGATACCAGGAACATGGAAAAAGTGTTTAAAAAATTTACAATTATTTAGTAAAGGTATAAGAATTTTGCCAATAAAAGCCACAAAAACAGTGAACAAAGTTATAATTTAGGACAAAGATTCTTTCTTTCCTCTTCTAATAGACTGTAGTAAAAAAACTGAATTAAATAAAGTAAGGTACATACATTAATTTAGATAATAAGGTAAATGTTTCTTCCTTCCATATTTGTTTCTCCTCTACATTTAGGACAAATAAATTTCACTGGTATAGGCATTTTATTTTTTACAATATTTGTTCCAATTACACAAATTAAATACATTTTCTAGACTACAACTTAAATTATTGTTATGTTTTAAACAGTGGTGCGACTTAAAAATATTTTTTAATTGTTGATAATTTAAACAAGAGGGATTATTTTTCCAACAGAAATAAATAGCGTCAAAGTGCAAAATGTAAACTCTCATAACTTCAAAATTTTTATAGATAAATTTTTTTTTACATTTTTTCCATGTTCCTGGCATCTTATGGCGTACTCTGTGTAGCGGTGAGTATAGCTAGAAAGTTTTGGTACAGAGTTGGCAATGACAATATATAAAATACATAATAGAATAAATGTATTATAGCAAGAAATGTTTTAAAAACAAAGACTAGATTAACAAATTGAATAGAAAATCTTGTCATCCAACTGACAATGACAACAATAACTTATGACAACATTGCAATTAATACGATAAAGGTGATAACGGGTGTTTTTTTTATTTGGCGTTAAAGCTATCTATGAAAGTTTGATTGTGAACGAACCATTGTGTTGAAAGTACCGTGCTATCAAAAAAATTATAAATTAGAGTAGGCGGTGATTAAAGTCCTTCAGATGACAATCCTGATTTTTGACATCAAATGTCACTGGAAATTTTGACAAGTTTGTGTTTTATTTGAGTGAGATAATGTTTACTTTAGAGCAGAAATTTTTTATTGCTGTACAAGAGGAAAACTGTGGATGGTCATTTTCACTTTCAGGTTGTGTGGAAAATTTCCAGCCCAAATTCCCAGCCAATGTGTTGCCAACTGTAGAATTTAATCGACACCTACTCTAATTTATTTTTAATTTGATCGCACGGTATTAATCTGACATTTGGCACCTCGCCAGTCGTATTAAAAATTGTGGTCCGTCCACAACACACTCATCACCGCCAACTATGACCGCCAAATTTAAATAAGATTAGATTTATTATAATAGAAAAATACTTGTACAAAAATTAACAAAACCATTGATTTGTTGAAATTTCACTTGATTTCGAATCGTTGCCCTACTTCAAATACGTCGATTTCTGGTTTGACTTTATCGTAAAGATGTGGGAATGAGCCTTCGGCTCCATACTTCACCCTCACTTTCTCATACAACGTCAAGTCAAACATTTCCTCGAACTCCTCTCTAGTCATGAAAATGTCGGCATACAAGAACGAAAATCCCCCAATGTCTCGCGTAAATTTCTCCATTTCTCTCATAGCATAAACCGGGTTATATTTCTCCTTCCTTTTCACATAGCCAGGTACCCCATAAATCCCCAAATCGTTATACATGGCATAATCAGTGCCTTCTACGATGTAGTCCTTCCGAGGCGCTTTCAACTGACCGGAAGCCGGCCCTCGGTCATAAATCCTGCAAGGATAAACAAGAAGTGGATATGCGTCGAAAAGTTCATCCGATTTATCGATTTGATCTTCTAGTTTGCGGATGGGTAAAACGATATCTTGAAAAACTTGTCTCGTGAAAGTGTAAGCTCGCACACCTGGGGTTGTGGTGAATTTGAGAAATGCCGGTTTTGGGGGTAAGAGCCAGCCGAAGAAAAGGCGAAATATTGGGTTGTTACCAAAAGGAATCATTGATTCGACAACCCAGAAAATCGCCCGATTGTGTCTCAGTAAATACTCACGAAGGGGGATCAACTCTGTGTGTTTGCCTTTTTTCAAAAATGATTCTGTGTATTTATAAAACCAAGGTTTGTACCAACGGGTTACGTGGTTTATTGGGAGGTTTGGGTCGTAGTCGGAGTAAGACCCTGTCATGATTACAGCTTTTTCGGGGCTAAAAATGGTTGCTTCGACGTAGTCTTCAGTGGGATAATTGCCACTATCACCGGACAGTAATCTTATCATGTCACAGTAATTCTTTTTACCTTGGATTGGAATGTAATTCATTTTGATGAAAGGTTTCACTTTGACAAGTTTCAAGGTTAGAGCTACGAGAAAACCTAGGCTTCCGTGTGACCAAGGCAAAGTTTTATACAGGTCCGTATTTTCATTCCTTGTAGCCCTAACAAGGCTTCCATCGTGTAAAACAACCTCGTAGGAGATGATCGTTTCGTGGTAAAGCCCTACTTTGTGAGAATGTGTCGTCATTCCGGTACCCAACGCAAGGCCGCCTAGAGTAGCATCAGCGATTTCAAGAGTCACAGCCAGTGTGTAGCCTCTTGGGATGAGATATTTCGTGATTTCGCCCACTGTGACCATGGGTTCGACTCTAACAGTCAGGTTGTGTTGATCCAATTCCAAAATGTTGAACAAATCGACGTTGATTTTATGACAGAGGTCTTTGCGGTAAAAAGTGGTAGATAGGCTTAACCAATTGGGGCGCGCTGTACATAAGAGTTTTCTTTCGTCTTTGGGGATCTTGTTCCATTGTTGGATTTGTTTCTGGATTGTTCGGACGCGAGAGTCGTGGTTTTTCGGATTGCTGAAGAACCGGTGAAGAGTTTTGCGGAATGTTAGGATGAAATTAAAAATGTAACTAGCAGGAAGGCAGAAGAAGAGAACGACGAGGCCTCGATGGGTTTCGAGGAATTCGATGAGGCGGGCCTTGAAGTGACCTCCAGCCATCTAAAAACATTTAGCAAGATTAAAAAGGAAAACGAATTTATAACCTCACTTTTGGGGGAGTTTATTAACACTTGTTGCGATGTGGCTTATCGATGTTTACTACACTGGAGACGATTGATAATTTATTAATAAATAAAGTGATAATAATTTTGACCTTTCACCCTCACGTTCTGTGTTTTCTCTTGAAATTAATTTCATGTTGGTATTTGTTATTATGTGGGCGGAAATTCTTTTTTTTATTCACAATCATAAAGTAATAATCAAATTAAACTTGCATGTGAAAAGTTGAAATGTATGACATTTCAGTTTCATTTAACAATTGATATGCAATATACAGTTCAGGTTGGGAAGTGGTCATTATTAACAGTTAATGACAGTTTAGGTTGGGAATTGGCCATTTCCCAACCCGAAAACTGATAAAGACAGTAACTATTTCCCAATCTAAACTGTCATGTCTTGATTTCAAAATTTGATAAATTCTTTATTGGCTTTTTGTTCTTTAAGGAGGATGATTGTGAATAAAATAGTATACAAACTTTGGTGGTCTTTGCTTCATCATACCTAGGCTTATTGCTAGCCATCTTGTGGTCATCAAATTTGCCAAGCAAATTTTGGGATGCATTATTATCTAAAAGGTACTCGTAATGGTTTCTGAAATTCTTATGGTACATACAGGATGTTCGGTCCAAGTCGCCCCGGCTGATAACACCTAAACTTACTTCTTTTTTTCAAAAAGTAAATATTTAAGTAATAATATTCATTTTTGGCTTTCTTAATAAATGTATTAAATTTTTTTAGCACATCCGGTGTTGCCGGAAATGCTACCAAATTTAGTTTTTCAAATAGAACACCTATGTTTTTTTCCTCGAAACAATAATAATTGGCATGAAAAATACTGTAAACCACTATTTATCACATTTTGCGTAACACAATGCAATCAAAAAACATCTTAAATCTTATAATTTTATAAGGAAATTGGTCGCGTAGCCTGATTTTTAATTTTAAAGGAAAGKTGTGAATAAAAAAATGCTTGGATACAGTTAAATTGTTGGTTTGACAAATATGATTTGTCAGTTGATGAGCGAGTTCTCTTATGGAAACACTTGGATTTTCTTCGACTGATAACAGATCATTTTATATTTTCTTGTTCTTTACAAAGAACCACAGGTTTTTTATTTTTAAGAAGCGAACCTATTCGTCTCAGTTGTTTTTCAATTCGACTAAATTTCCAACGATTTGGGTGAACTCTATTTGAATATTTTTCACTACACTGTCTTTCAGCTTCCGCTCTATTTTAATTGCACTTAAAAAACACTTCAAGCTGATCTACCAATTCGTCGTAATTAATATCATTCATTATCAAAGCTCTCAATAAGATTTATTGACAAATTAGGCTTTGTCAAACTAACAAACGGTATCCAAGCATATTGCTTTTTGCATGAATACCTTGACAAATAAAATCCGCCTACGTTGCAAAATTTGCAATGAAATTCAAAAATTTAATTTGTTTTCTGAGTGCATTATGTAAACTATTTTTCATGCCAATTATTATTGTTTCAAGCAAGAAAACATAGGTGTTCCATTGGAAAAACTAAATTTAGTAGCATTTCCGGCTACACTGGATGTGCCAAAAAAATTTGATGCATTTACTAAGAAAATAAGGAATGAATAGTATTATTTGAAAATTTAGTTTTTGAAAAAAAAAAGTAAGTTTAGGTGTTATCGGCTGGGGCGACTTGGACCGAACAGCCCTGTATAACACGATTTTTATACCTTAGCTGAAAGTGGTAATTTCTTATAAGCTTTAAGGCACTGAGTTCAAAAAAATATTCAAAAAAGTCCACTATGTCGCGTTTAAGAAATAGGAGTATGTAATTAACAAAAATACAATAACGGTCAAACAACAATATTATAAATGAGTTACGTTACTTTGTTTTTTATAGTTTTTTTGAATCAGTTTTCCAACTAACAAATTCTAACTTATTTTCATCCCAAAAACCGATCTTCAAAAATTCTTCAGATCTTGATGAAAACACTCGCCCTGTTTGTCACTCATGCTGCCTAAGTTTTTAGAAAAGAAGTCCAAATGCGAGCAATGAAATGTATTTTAAGACCCATTTAGACCCAACAATTTTGCAATAATTCAGCAGAAAGCAGGAAAATTATCGTTTGTAACAAAAAACTGTGGCGTGCTAAAAAAAATTAATAATTATTTTTGTAAAATAAACTTAAAAAAAATAATTTGATTAATGGTATAATAAACAAGTCATTATTTGTAAACTAGTGTTATTAATATTACATACTTGCTATAATATTACTTTTAATTATTTTTAATAATAGCTCTTTTCTAATATACAGGCTGTCCCAACGAGTTGAAAAAGTCCATTAGTGACCTTTAAATGGTAAAATTAAAAAAAATATATAGGACATTGATAGATACTATTCTAGTCAATCGCCTAAAATTATATTCAACTATACAGCGTGTCTCAAAAATAAGTTTATAATACAAACTTGTGTTTTTTTAGATGAAACACCATATGTTTTTTAGCGTTTTTGGATGTAGATTTTTATGACAATGTTTTTAAGCTAAACTTTTATTGGGCGCTTTTGCTTAGTTTTAAAAATAAGACGTTTTTTTCCACGAAATCATGCACTTTTTAAAAATTTATTACACAAAAACTGAGACATCTAGAAATATTTTTTACTACCGCAAAGAATAAGGTACAAGCTATAAGGTTGTAACATTTTTTTAATGTGTTGCATTTGCAAAAATAAAAAAATAAGGCGTTTGTTAAAAGTTCAATAACTTAAAAAATTTAAATGAAACAACCTATTTACCTATTGTTTTTGCATTTAAAAGAATATTGAATTGTCTTTCTAAAATTATTTACTTTTAGCTGTTTATAATCATTAACTAAAAAGATTTTTAACGTTAAATATTAAAAAAAAATAATTACTATTGTTTCAGTGGCCAAAAAGTGCACAGTTGCACAAGAGATGGAAGAAATATCTCTTAATAATCACATTTGTGTTAAACTGAATCCATTATTTTTTATTTTTACAAATTAAATAAATCGAATTTCAGTATTTATAACGACTTTTATAATCTCTGGATAAATCAACGGATAAGTGATCCGTTAAATGTCTTTTCATTTATCAATTCTAGACATTAAAAGTTTATTTTTTTGGATAGATAATTTATCAATTTATTACACTCAAAAAAAATAGGGTGTTTTATTTATTTTTTTAAGTTATTTAACTTTTAACAAACTTCTTAATTTATTAATCTTTACAAATGCAAAACACTAAAAAATTGCTATAACTTTAAATTCTGTACTTTCTTCGTTGCAGAAGTAAGAAAAATTTTGTTCTAGCTGTTTTAGTTTTTGTGTAATAAATTTTTATAAAGTGCTTGTTTTCGTAAAAAAAAACGTCTTATTTCCAATACTAAGCGAAATCGACTAATAAAAGTAGCGTAAAAACATTGTTTTAAAAGGCTACCTCCAGAAATGCAAAGAAACATACGGTGTTTCATTTAAAAAAACACAAGTTTGTATCGTAACTTATGCTGTATGGTTAAAAATACTTTTAGGTGGTGCACTACATTAGTATCTACCAATGTCTTATACATTTTTTTTTAAATTTTATTTAAAGGTCACTAATGGACTTTTTCAAATCGCTTGGACACCCTGTTTAATATTCAAACTTATTATTATTATTGCAACGGATTCTTTGAATCAATGTTTTTTCGAAATTTCAAATTATCTTTTTAATTAAAAGGAGTAAACAACTGTAGTAGGTATATCAGAAATTAATACTCACATAAAATCAGCATTTGTGAAGTTTTTTATATGTTAATTCATTGAAGAAATACTGAAGTAATTACCAAAAAAATTGAAAAAATAAAAGATTTAGTGAGTCCCTACCTATTTTTAGAATGTATTTTTTGTAGACAGTGACACAAACACCAACTGAATTGCCTTGAAATAAATATGTTAATTACATTTTAAAAACATATGATTGATTTTCAAAAGAATAAGAATGTTTTATTGGTAAAAACACTTCATATAGGGGGTGATTTAACAGAGATGTCACCATAGTTTGGCTTTGCTTAGAATTTATATTTAGTTTCTATGTAAAATCTAAAATAATTTCGTCATCTTTACTAAATCACTCTGTATACTCTTTGCTGTTCGGGTTACAAGATTATACAAGATATTGTAGTTATAATTACATTAAATCTTAATTAATAATTACGATTAGATACGAAATTGAACTAATATAATAACATAAGTCGTTATACTGGCTAACATCTAAAAACAAAAATTATGACACCAAATACAATGAATTTTATTTTCCATAAACCTTACTGTATGACAAAAACTCCAGTCCAACCGAAAAAAATTTCTTGCCCTAAATTCCAGTTTATTGTTCAGAAATCGAATCGAAATTAATTTAAGATGTTGCAGTGTTTTATCGACATTTCCACTGACTTCAAACTTATTCCAAATATCGTGTATGTAACGTCCAGTTATGTTGGCCTACAAAATGGTTCAGTTCAGTTATACCAAAATTGAAAATCACCTCTTTTTGTGTCCTCGTGAACATTTCCAAGATGAAAAATAGCCAAAACACGTAGAAAGCAAGAAAAGCACTATTATTACCGTACAAAACAAATAAATTCTTGTCGTAATGACGAGCCGCTAAGTAGATTAAAAAATACACAGTAGAAGTAACGTAATTGAAGCAAATCATTATTGCTACAATTGTTGTTATTTCAAAATGATGACAAATTTTTAATGTTAAGTCTGTTAGGTCGCTGTGATGTAAAGAAAGTTGATCGATTCTAGCCATTTTGTAGTGCATTTCGTCGTCTTTCATTTTTTTTGTTTTGAAGATAACATGATGTGACTTTGTTTGATGTTGCATTTCTTGGTTAATTTGATCGAATTTGTTACAAATTATTTCTAAAATATCACTCAAAAATATGTGATCGAATAAAAGTATTATTCCGGGATAAATAAAGAACAAAGTGTATAGTGTAGGGTCAAGCTCAAAAGGAAAAAATAGAAAGTATATCAGAATGTTAAGAATAACAATAATTTTTAAATAGTAATTTGATTTACGGTGTCTTTGCCGATGTATTGAATTAATTTGAATTTGTTTCAATTTAATTAATAATATCTTTAGATCAACACTTCTTTGAATAAATATAGTAATCGATATTACCAAACATAAGACAGTTCCAATCGATGTTGATGCATCAACAAAGAGAAATATTCCCCAAAATTCACTCTGGTTTAAGTACATGTAAAATTTAATACAAATATAAGTAAATAAGCAATTTTGTGGAAGAGGCCAAAGATGTGGAAAAATTTTTGAAGAGTTTTCTTGAGTTGGAAACTGAATTATTCCAATTATTTTATAAATGTATTTCCAAAAAGACGGAATCTCATCCAAGAGAGACATTTTCGTCACACACAGTTGTAACAATTTCTTACAAAGCAATGAAAATTGTGCTCATGTTTTGTTTTTCGAGTAAATAAGACTTCATTTGTTAAGTGGTTTTGTCAACTAATTTATTATATGGTTAGTAAACATCTAGGTCATCTACTCTATGTAAAGTCTGTTTTGTCTTTAAATGGAAATTACCAAGTCAAAATTTTGGCGAAAAAATTGGTAACAGCTTGTCTCCATAGCCACAAATTTTGTTTACTCTTTAAAATTATTGTTATGTTTTCAAATTGAGATGTTTATTAATATGCCTGTTTGCTCTTTGAAAGCGCTATAATTGAATACCTGAGACAGACATCATTACTTAAGGTCAAAGACAGAATTCAGTGCTAATAATTTTGATAGAAACACACCGCAAGTAAGTACAATGTTGTGGACAAAAATGAGGTTCTTGCTACAAAAACTTTGAAGAAAAAGGATGTATATAGGGTCTTCCTTCTAAACCCCACATTAGAAGTATTGGGAGTTCGAATAATCGTATTTATTTGAAAATTGGTACATAGCCATAAACCATTAAATCCTCCTAAATGAAAATATTTTCATCACTTCCGCTTATACCGGAAGTCGGTCTCAACTTTCTTATTTTAAATGGAAAGCTATGTTTTTTACTGCGTTTTTGGATTACTTGGGTTATTTTAAGGGAGTTTCCCCTATACCTAAATTTAGCCGTTTTAGAAATATTTGGAGTTTTTCAAAAAATTTTGGATCTTCATCTTACACTTTAAAAATCGGTAACTCTGCCATTTTTTAAGATTTTGAATTCGTTTTTTTGGCGTTTGAAAGAGAAGGCTCAGATTCTTTTTCTGGTGTTTTCAAATTTTGAAGAAAAAATAACATATCCCAAAATTTTAAGGTTATTTTTGTAATAATTCAAATACTCATGACTCAATTATTTCAAATGAAATACCCCAATTTTTATTTTATTTTTAATTATTATAATTATTTTAATTTTTATTGATCTGTATTAACATTCTCTGTACCTAAATTTTAACAATTTTCAAGTTATGGACTTTTTGTTAAGACTACAGAAAATTTGTCATTAGCCACACCCGTTTTCACATATCTAGTTTGCTATGGAAATCAAAAATGTCAAAATTTTCTCTAAATAAACGTCAACAGTAAATTATTATTTGACAAATAGTGCCAAAATATGAAGAATCAAAATTATGCAAACTCAATTATTATTGATAGGTTCTACCATGCGATCATTATTTAAAGCTAACAAGTGAGAAAATTTTATTTTTGTTTAATGAACGACATCATAACTGTGTTACACTCTCCATAAATACAATATTAATTAATAATCTAAGTTTGAGTGGTTTTGACTCTCCATATTTTGGCACTATTTGTCAAATAATAAGTCACTGTCGACGTGTATTGAGAAACAATTTTGACATTTTTAATTTCCATAGCAAACTATACTAAGACGTAATAGATTTTCGACAGTCTTAACAAGAAGTCACCATAACTTAACGATTATTAAATTTTGGTATAGGGAATGTTAATACAGATCGATGCAGAATTAAATTCTCTTCCATTTAGTAAAATAAAATTTAGGGTATTTCATTTGAAAAAAATGCGTTATGGGTGTTTGAATTATTGCAAAAGTAACCTTAAAATTTTAGGGTTTGTTAATTTTTTTTCAAAATTTGAAAAGACCGGAAGAAAGATCTAAACTTTCTCTTTCAAACGACAAAAAAACGAATTCGAAATTTTAAAAAAATAGCAGAGTTACCGATTTTTAAAGTGTAAGGTGCAGATCCAAAAATTTTTGAAAAACTCCAAATATTTCAAAAACGGCTAAATTTAGGAATAGAGAAAGCTGATGAAAACTCCCTTAAAATGACCCGATTAATCCAAAAACGTAGTAAAAAATATAGCTTTCCATTTAAAATAAGAAAGTTGAGACCGATTTCCGATAAAACCGGAAGTGCCGCCATCTTGAAAATATTTTCATTTATGGATATATTTATGGATATATTTTCCTTAATGGATTATAGCTAAGTACCAATTTTCAAATAAATACTATTTTTCGAACTCCCAATACTTCTAATGTGGGGTTTAGACAGAACACCGTGTATACAGAAAAAAGTTATTTAGCAAAAGATACAAGTAGGTCTTATGATGATTGGCAATAAATTTTGTGTAATTTATTGAAATGAGCTTAAAGTTGATGCATTTTATAAATTCTTCTTCAGGCTTAGTTTCAAAATTGTTACTTTTTCAATTCGTTCCTCAAAAACGATGCACAAGACACTAATTTAATTGCGTTCTTTCCGAGGTTCTTACTCATTCATTTTTATTTTTTATTCTTGTCAATTTCTTGCTAAAAATTGTGAATGTTTAACAAACCTGCATTACAAATTGCGTCTACATTTCCTACAAATTCGTTTCCAAATTTCTAAAAACTGTTAGCGGTACCGAATTTGTTTCTTTTTTGATGTTTCGTCTCTAAATTTTCTTAGACGATTTTTTGTGTTGACGTTTAATGACATTGTTTTCAAATTAATTCAAAAAACCTGAACTGCCAACTTCCTTTATTAAAATTACCTTGAATGAATTTACTAGTGGTGCCAACGTTAAAACTGTTTGGCATTTCCATAAAAAAAAAAAACTTTAGATGGGTGACTATTTTTTTTTTCACACTCCCACTAAATACAAATGCAGGAAATTACGCACTTGAATCACTTTCGATTTGTTCAATGGTTGTTTTATTTTGTCGATTTTTGCTAGGGCATCGACCATTTCGAGGACATTGGCCCTTGCGTAATCATGGCCTCCCCCGGCATGTTACAAAACGGCCTTTCTCGTGAACTTTTTGAGTCCTGGTGCACCGATGCGAAAAACGGTGTTATAATTGCCGGCTACTGTGTCGAGGGAACTCCAGCGAAAACAATCCTTTCCGAACCCGAAGAAATAACAACAATGGTTGGCCAAAAACTCCCCTTAAAAATGTCAGTCGATTATATTTCGTTTTCTGCTCATACTGATTACCAACAAACGAGTGAATTTATTCGAATTCTCAAACCGCCACATGTCGTTTTGGTGCATGGAGAGCAAAATGAAATGAATCGGCTTAAAGCCGCTCTTCAGAGGGAGTACGAGGATGACCCCAACACCACTATACATCTCCACACACCGCGAAATACGCACGCCGTTGAGTTGTATTTCAGAGGGGAGAAGACGGCGAAGGTTATGGGGAGTCTTGCGGTTGAGAAACCTAAACCTGGGAATGTGTTATCTGGGGTTTTGGTCAAGAGGAATTTTAATTATCATTTGTTGGCGGCTAATGATTTACCAAGTATGGAATAAAACAGTGGTGTTTATTTTTTATTGTATTTTTTCTTTTAGAATACACTGATATGAGTATGAGTCAAATTATGCAAAGACAGAGTATCCACTATTCAGGGAATGTCGGCGTTTTGCGACACTTGTTGACCCAAGTGGCGGGTCTACTCGAACCAGTGGAAGGGGACAAAAAGACAAGGGCTTTTAATGCTATTGATATTACAATAGAAAATAAAATTGTAACGCTAGAATGGGTTGCCAATCCTGTTAATGATATGTACGCCGATGCTATAGTTGCAGCGATTCTTCAAGCCGATTTATTGGATACTCCTATTAAAAATTTGTCAACTAGTGTGAAAGTGGATCGGATGCATTTTAAAGTAATTATTTGTTGTTGTCTTGATATAATATAGCAAAGCCATTGTAGGAATGTTTAATTGAAATGTTGCAAGACATGTTTGGAGAAGATTCAGTCCCGAAAATGTTCAAGGGGGAGAAATTGTATGTTACAGTGAACGATAAAAAGGCTGATATTGATTTATCCACTCTGGTATGCCCAATTTTGTGTAAATAAAATTTTATACAAATGGATTTTTCAGGAAGTGACGTGTCCTGACGATGAGACTTTTAAGCAAATTGTGGAAACTGCGGTGTCGAAATTGTATCAATCATTAGCCCCACCACAAATATAAGTTATTGTGTAAAACTTTTTAATAAATTAAATTAATTTTTTTTACAATTGTTTAAATTTCCCCTTCAAACAGGTGTGACAACCCAAATTCTATAAACTCACAGTTGGTATTGGTGGTTATTTAGGTTATGTTTATATCGCATGTTTGAAAAGTGTGGTTAGAGTTACAAATTATTTTTTTAAATTATTAATCGAAAATGTTTAAAAACAAAATAAATTGGAAACCCGTCCCCGTTGAAGATCCTAATTTAAACGCCGAAGGTTTAATTGCTTTCGAAGAATGTACAGATTATGATTTGATGAATGAAAAACCATGTAAAAAGGTAAATTTATCCAACATTTTGCTTGTAAAATAAAGAACTTTGGTCTTATTTTAGGCCCAAGTCCGTAAAAACTCTATCGATATAGAAAAACCGGCGAAGAAAAAACGTAAATTGTCTTCTGTGAGCAAAATATCTGGTTTAACACCCTCAAAACAAGGCAGTAGTGTAGAAACTCAGGTTGAAATTAACGATAAAATTGAGACAACAGACAGTTATTTAGTTTGGAGTAACTTTGGGTTGCCTGATTTAATTATTAAGGCGCTTGTTTTGCAAGGTTTTCAAGAACCAACGTTGATTCAGTCGCTGTCGTTACCTGCTGCAATTTTGGGGCGAAGAGACATTTTAGGAGCTGCTGAAACGGGAAGTGGCAAAACACTAGCATTTGGTTTGCCAATTGTGGCAGGAATTTTAAATGAAAAATGTAAAAATGAGGGTATTTGATACACAATTGGAGTACTTTTCGTTAATTGCAAATGATTGTAGGAAATCCAAATAAAAATTTGTATGCGTTAATTTTGACACCAACGAGGGAACTGGCGGTACAAGTGAGAGATCATTTAAAAGCAATTGTGAAATTTACAGGTATTTTACGACGTATATTTTTTTAATATTAATAAATAAAATAATTTTCTAAAGATATAAATATTGCGGTGGTGGTCGGTGGCATGGCTGCAGTGAAACAAGAACGAATTTTGAATAAAAGCCCAGAAATTGTTGTTGCAACTCCAGGCCGTTTGTGGGAATTAATCCAACAAGGCAATGAACATTTATCACAAATAAATGATATCAAGTTTGTAATGTCGTAACTTTCGTGCTCGTTTACTTAATTAAATTTTTAGATATTTTGCAATTGACGAAACTGACCGAATGTTGGAAAGAGGCCACTTTGAGGAATTACACAACATTTTAGAACGACTCAATCTTGATAAAACAAAAGCCAAGCAAAGACAGAATTTTGTCTTTTCTGCAACACTCACTTTAGTACACGATTTACCAAAATACCGGTTCAATAAATCAAAAGTTTCTAAAATGACTCCGCAACAAAAACTTAGTAAGATTATGAGCGATTTAGGTATAAAAAATCCGAAAATTGTGGATATAAGTCAGGGTGGAAACACACCGGCAACTTTAACTGAAAGTCGAATTAGTTGCGGGATTGAGGAAAAGGACTATTACGTTTATTATTTTTTGCAAAAGCATCCGGGCAGGACTTTGATTTTTTGTAATTCAATCGGGTGTGTGCGACGATTGGCGAACTTGTTGAGCATTTTGGGGTGTAAGCCTTTGCCTCTTCATGCTTCAATGCAACAGAGACAACGTTTGAAAAATTTGGAACGGTAAAAAATGCTCGTTGTGGTTTAATATTGTTTTTTCAGTTTTAGGGACGACGAGCATGGCATTTTGGTGGCCACTGATGTAGCAGCTCGAGGACTAGATATTCCTAAAATCGAGCATGTTTTGCACTACCAGACACCCAGAACAAGTGAAAGTTATGTTCATAGGTCTGGCCGTACAGCTCGTGCGACTCAGCAAGGCCTCACTGTAGTTTTAATGGAGCCTTCTGAAATACAGAATTACATAAAAATCTGCAAAACTTTGAATAAAAGTAAGAGCACAATGAAATTCAATTATTGTTATAATATAACACAGGGCGACAAAAAAAGTCATGTCGTGACAACTTGACAAATTTTATATCATTTTGTTCGTCTCAGTGAGACAAATCAAATGCACTAAAAAAATTTCAAAAAGTCCACACACTTTGAACTAAATATTTTTTTCCAATTTAAATGGATTTAAAATACTTTAACTTTAAAAAATTATTACTCAATAACTATTAGGCCGATTTCCTTCAAATAAAGACCATTCTAAAGAATGATATCAAATTTGAAATAGAATATTGGCAAAATTTTCTTCGAACAGTGTTCCAAGAAGTTCGAAGTAAATCGAAATAATCTAAGAAAAACCCTACAAGTAATTTTTTTCATCATTACCATCGTGTAGAGCATCTCTTTATTAGTTGTAATTCAAATTTTCAAAAGAATATACCGAGTAGTTTTCAAGATATGGTTTTTTGAAGTTAAGGTTTGCTAATCAAGCATTGCTCCATATGGGAGAAATGCATGTTAATCTTACTTAAAATTGCATTTTTATGAAAGTATTTGTTTTAAGACTCTTCTTTTGCTTAAAAATTGTCAATTGCACCTTCTTTGTTCTAATTAGAATAAACAAAAACTGTTTGTTTACTTAAAACAAATAAAGAGTACCTGCATACTAATTAAAACAAATAAGGAGTTTTTTTGTGGTAAAAGTCTTAAATATAAGGGCAAATCTTATTCAAATCAAATCACTTTTCATTCAGATTTCGACTTGTTCACTTTGTTCTAGCTTTCTGAACTTTTTTGGAAAATGTTCTGAGCAAATGCTTTCTCATCACTTTCGAGTGATGTTAAATGCAATAAGCCACCTGATTTATTTTGTTGGTACGATTAGCTTCAGTTAGCTTGTAGGTGTAGTAGATGATGTGATAACAGTTGCACACGAAGCAACTAACTTATTGCATTCAACATCAGTAGAAAGTGATAAGAAAGCATTTACTGAGAACATTTTCAAAAAAAAAAGTTCTGAAAGACAGAACAAAGTGAACAAGTTGGAATCTGAATGGAAAGTGATTTAATTTGAAAAAGATTTGTTCTGATATTTAAAGCTACTGTTTTAAACTTCTAAATCCTTTTTGCTCAATGATCAGTGATCATTTTTAGAACAAAAAAACTCTTTATTTGCTTTAATTAGTACGCAGGTACCCTTTGTTTGTTTTAAGTAAAGAAACAGTTTTTGTTTATTCTAATTAGAACAAAGAAGGTGCAATTGACCATTTTTAAGCAAAAGAAGAGCCTTAAAACAAATACTTTTATAAAAATGCAATTTAAAGTAAGATTAACATGCATTTCTCCTATATGGCGCAATACCTGAATAGCAAACCTTAACTTCAAAAAATCATATCTTAAAAACTACTCGGTATATTATTTTAAAAATATGGATTCTTATTAATAAAAAGATGCTCTACACGATGGTGACGAAGAAAAAAAAATACTCGTAGGGTTTTTCTTAGATTACTTCGAACACTGTTCGAAGAAAAGTTTGCGAATATTCAATTTCATCCATCCCTTTACAATGGTCTTTATTTGAAGAAAATCGGCCTAATAGTTATTGAGTAATGATTTTTTAAAGTTAAAGTATTTTAAATTCATTTAAATTAGAAAAAAAATATTTAGTTCAAAGTGTGTGGACTTTTTGAATTTTTTTAGTGCATTTGATTTGTCTCACTGAGACCAAAATGATATATAAATGATTTTTTGTCGCCCTGTGTAATTTTCAAATTTGTTATAGGTGAAGATTTGCCGATTTTTCCGGTACAGGAAGAGTACTTAAAAGCCGTCAAACAACGAGTGAATTTAGCACGAGAATTGGACAAATTGGAATTGCAAATACGAAAGGGAAATTCAGAAGAAGGCTGGTTACGTAAAGCAGCGAAAGAGATGGATATTATCGTCGATGATTTGTATCCTTAAAAAAAACAAAAACTATTAAGTAATTAACTTTTTCCTTAATAAAAAACAGTTCGAAAAAATTCGATTCTGATGAAATTTCGACGCAGAAAAAACTAGCAGATGTTAGGAGAAAACAGTTAACGGCATTACTTACCAAACCCATTTTTCCGAAAGGATTTAGTGGAAAGTATCCGCTTAATTTCGGTGAATTTTCCCCAAATTTGGAGAACGAATCAGCTTTGCAAACTGTCAAAAAATCTGTTGAGAGAGGATTGAAGGAGAAAAAACGTATACGGCTTTATAAACCAAAAAAAAAATGTTAAAAATTCAAAATAAATGTTTTATTAGAATAAAACGAAAACTAATCAATCATGGTAACAACAACCCTGCGCCGTTTCTTCGCGGAAGACGTATTGGGAGTTTTCTGTTCACTGAGAGTGTTTAGTTCATTGTTACTTGAGTCAATTTCAGTACTATTTTTATTTGCTTCCGTCACTTTATTCTCACCCAAGGAAAGATTCAAGTCTTCCAAAAATTGCATTTCTAAAGCTGTTGGCCTGATTGGTGTTGAAGTAGTCGTAGACGTACACTGTTCCTTGTTTAAAATCATGTCGTTTTGGGGGTTTTCAGGGTCTGATATGTGAAGAGTGGGTATTTCCCCTTCGTGAGTTAGGTTTACACTACAGTCGAATAAATTTGTAGGAGTTAACGATTTTGTAGGACTCTTTTCTTGTATTTGATTTTCTTCACTAGATTTCTTTTTTGCAGCGCTTCTTAAAATGCGACTCGATTCCGGTATTTCTTCTGTTTTTTCTTTCTTGCCACCGGAAAGCCTTTTTTCTTTTATTTCTTTTTTGGGGACAGTGTCTTTCGGCGTTTCTGACACTTTTTCTTTCTTGTTACTGGAATACTTTTTTTCCTTTTTAGAAACACTGTCTTTAATTTTCTTTGAAGCTGCTACAATTTTGGGCTTTTCTGTAATTTTCTTACACTCAGATTTTTTATCTTTAGGTAGCTCTTCCTTGTCAGTTTCGTCTAAAGTTAAGTCCACTATATTTTCACAATTATTAGTTTTTAAAACCAAGTCATTTTTGTTAGAATCTTCAATTTCTTTCTTGTCCGTTTGAGTATTGTTCACTTCTTTTGTAATCACAGTTTTATCTATAATTTCCAATGTTGCAGGCTTATTCAACACATCTGTTTTTTCATCTATAGATTCATTACTAATGTTTAAGTCATTGATAACACAAGAAACAACATTAAAGTCAGAATTGCGTGCCTCTCCACCCAATTTTTGTTTTAATTTAATGGTTACATCTTCAATTTTCGGTTTATTTGCTTTGATTTTTAATTTTTTTACTTCTACATTTTTATTAACATTTGCAGTGAAGTTTTTCTTAATTTCATTCAAGTTATTTTTTTGCTCCTCTGCACTTTGTGTATTATTGCAATTTTCTTTCTTTGTTTCTTCTCTGTGACTCTCTGTTTGCATTTCTACATCATCTGCAACTTTTAACTCACTTTCAGACTTTTCTCCAATTTTCGGTTTATTTGTTTTGCACTTTGACTTTATTACATCCACACCAAATACACCGTTTTTGTCACGTTTTTCATTTAAATCCTTGTTAAAATTTTCTTCCACCTTATTTTCTTGTTTATTATCCCTGTTTTTCTCATCTGTATTTTTGTTATTCTCTTCTATCTTGGTTTCTTTTATTTGATTATCATTTTTCTTCAATCCCATTTCCACTTTATCGGGCACTTTCAATTCACTTTCAGTTTTTTCTTCAATTTTCGGATTGTTTGTCTTGTTTTTTGATTTTATTACGTTCACATCAAATGCACAGTTTTTGTCATTTTTTTCAGTTATATTCCGTTTAGCACTTTCTTCTGTCTTCTTTTCTTCCTTATTATCCTTGTTTTTCTCTTCTACATCATTTAGATCTTTTACGGTTTTTTGACTTTCTTCTTTCTTAGTTTCTTTTGCTTGATTCTCATTGTTCTTCGTCATCATTTCTACTTTAGCTCCCAATCCAAAACCAGGCGGTTTATCAATTCTTACTATTAAGGTTTTATTATTATTTTCCTCTAATTTCTTTTCTTGCCTATCACACAGCTTTTTGTTAACAGTACTTTGCTCATCATTTATTACTTTCTCATTTTCTGTACTTTTTGTATCTTTGTCTTCCTTTCTTTTTTCTGTACTTTCAGAGTTCATCTTATTACTATGTTGCCTTTTGTGATGACTTTCGCTATAAAATTAAAAGTGTTTAAACTATTTTTATCTCGAAAATGAAATTATACCTGATAAAGTGCTTCTTATGTGTGTCTCGATTATGTTTATCATAATGGTCACTTTTATGGTCTTTCCTATTTTCATCTCTAATCTTTTCTTTATGAGAATGCTTAGACCTGTCTCTAGACCGCGAGCGACTTCTTGGCCTCTTCTCCTTTTTGTAGTTTTCATCACGCTCAGTTCTAATTTTTTTTGCAGCTGGTTCTTCAAAAAACTTATGCACACTTGGACTTGGACCTCTTTCACGTTTCAGAGAAAAACTGCTCTTTTTCATACACTTAAAGCGATCCAACTCTGCTCTCAAATCACTGATAATCCTGTCTTTTCTCTCAATTTCAGTTTTGGCGGTTTTGAACAGTTCAGATATATTTTTTGATAAATTATCTTGCGTCTTTTTCATTTCTGATATTTGCGCACATAGCTTTTCAATATCAGTCTCTAACGACTTTATATGATCGAGAAGTTGATTATTTTGTTGATGTAGCTGAAATAAAATCCAATAATAGGTTAGGATTTACAATAATGTGGTTTCATACTTTATCAACTTCCTCAGATAAGTCGACGTTTAGCAAATTGTCATAAATGTCAATTTTGTCACCTTCCATGATTTTTAATGCAAAAATTTAAGCTTTCAAATTTAGGGACCATAAACAAAATGTTGAGGTTAAGTGATCGCAGCGACATCTACCAAAACCAAACCAAGAAAATATTTACTTTTTTGTAATAAAAATGAGAAATGTAGGTACAACTGCATGACTCCGATGCAGTTTTATTCAAAAAAAGTGCTAACTAAATTTAATGGCTTTTTAAACAGTGAAAATTTAATTCAAATGCAAATTTTTGGTGACGTTTTGTGACATGCGCCTTGTGAGAAACTTTTTTTTAACATTAAAAAAAGTGAGATGGACATATACATGCCCGACAGTTAGACAAAGATACCAATATTTTACGTTGCACTCGTCAGCCGTTCTGGTTTTATGGGTTGGTGTCGCATCTGCATGTTTACCCATTGTGCAACGAATTTCTTTGAATTCTAAAAGTTTCTAATTTGTGACTAAACCAACAATGTGGTAATTGCTAAAATTTAAGTAAATTAATTGCTTAATTGTTAGATTCGCTTGTGGTGATTTTTATTCAAAAGTACATAGTTTAACAACAATTAGGTTAACTAAAGATTTTTTAAATTAATTAATATGGATTATAGTTTAATTATGGATAACGATAGTGGTTACATTTCGCATTATCAAGAATCAAATTTTGATTCTTTATCAGAAAGTGGTTTTAAGGCAAAAGCTAGCTTAGAACTTGATTATTTAAATGAAGATGCTTTGTTGGAAAAACCTTTTGTTATTAATCATTGTAGCCGGTCAGAATCATTTGATTCTGTTATAAATAGTTCACAAGAAAGTGTTAGAACACGTTTTAGCGGGTTGGAGGATTCTGTTCCTTCAGATTCCTCCTTTGTAATCCCACAAGTTCCACAGATCTTTTGGGACCCCGATGGTAAGTTCATAATTAATTTTTAAATATTTTTTTTAACAAAAAAGTGGGAATACTTACATCCTAATTAACTTTTTTGAGTAGTAGAAGAAACAAACTATGATACACGTTGTAGTCATTAATTAAGACAAATCTTAGGGACCCAAATATTTGTCATGTTGAAAATGGTTATTTTACGACTTCCGTGGTATTAGTCCTCAAACCATTAGTTTGGTAATTAACTTTGGCCTATAAAAGTCCTATTTCATTTCTAAACAGTCGTTTGTAACATTTACATTGCTTAATTTTGATTTTGTTTTGGTTTGTGTGTAGAAAACAAAGAAAACATCGACACTTCTTCCAATTTCAACAGTTCCAAAGAAAGCAACAACAGTTTCACCACAACTCCCACCAAGTCATTTTCACATAAAGTTCTCGCAAATGTAACAAACACGTATGACCAAAACCAAGCTGTGATTGGTAAAAATATCTTCAGCGATAAAGAAAACATACGTCCGTCAATAACTCCTCACAAAAGCTACGAAAACCGTATAACTGCTGACACCAGTCCTGATTTGTTCGACGAAGAAGAAGAGACTTTAAAATCTGTGATGCCATCAAAAATTTCGCCAAAAGACACACCGAAGGAAAATTATTGCGTCAAGGATTTAAAATTGTTGAGAAAAGTTCAAAGTTCGTTAAATGGAGTTCACCCACCTCCGTGTGTCACAATTACACAAATCACCGTCACGGAAATGCTCGATAAAATCCAGGAAAATAAACATTTGTTTTGGAAAACGTCCAGTACGGTCACTAGTGAGTCATTGAATTCGTTGTTAATTAACGATAAGCCGGATTGTGTTAACTCGAGCTGGCCTGAAATTTTAAAAGCTAGACATCTGGGTCTTCAGTATGTTTTGCTTACATTATTATTTCTTTTAATTAATTAATTTTTTGTAGTTATAATCGGAGCAAAGTTTCCGAAGATTTGGAACACTTGTGCCTTAAATACGCCGAACGTTACATCGGTGCCGAAACCCAATCTTCTTGCACAATTTTCGACTCGAATCCTTGTAATTTGCAAAAGCGCAAAGTGGTGAAACCAAAATGGGGCGCAAAGTCGCCAGGGCGGCGTTTGAGTCACTTGGCAAGACGGAGAATCACTTTTTCCAGCTCGAATTTACAGACGAGTAGCAGTTCGGCAATTCTCGGGTCACGTGCTCGTCAAATTTTAATCGATGCTAGGTATGTTTTATTTTATTGACTTTTTCTAATTTGCGTTTATAATACGTTTATTAACGTCTCTCAGTAGGAGTCGTTTATGGCTCTATAAAAGCACACTGTACTTTAATGAATTTAGGGTTATTTAGTTTTTGTATGCCGCTTCTGACTTGTCAGGTAACAAATTTTTCGTTGTTGCTTCGGCAATGTCGCGAATTTCGTTCGGAGTGCAAACTAAATTCTGTTGGCTCATATTTTATTTATTATTATTATGTTGTAACACTAATAACTAATAATTTGTAAATTTTATTTTTAATGACAGACGGCAGAAATTATTCAAAAAATCAGGTGGGCGCCGAGTGTTACCAACCGATATCAACTAACACAAATTTCTCTAGACGACAAAAATATTTTTTTTTTAATTATAATAAGAAAAAAGGGGGCGCAAATTAGAAAAAAATAGCATAAAATACTCGCTTTATAATGGCATTGGCGCACTCAAATCAATCCTTATAAAACTTGTTCTTTAATATACAGGGTTATTCATAAATATGAAGCAATATTTGAAGCTCAAAAATGACCCATAAAATGATGTTAATTTAAATAATAACTCGTGTCCTATCTCTACTGATAAGAATTTTACAGCCCTCGGAATGTGGGTATGGAAATTTGATTTTTTTGTAATAACTTTGAAACTATTTGACCAAATATTATAAAATTTGGAACATTTCCCTGTGACAACATACCCTTTGAACTGGTAATCACGAAAACCGAATACATCCACTCAATTTCCGGTTCCAGCAGTTACAGGTCACATTTTCTGTGTTTTTCCATTTTTTTGCTTCCTTAACACAAATTTTTTTGTTGCCCAAATCCATCGCCGTCTCCATAGAAATAATCCTTTTCTCGCCTGGGCATTTTTTGAGTTCAACTGATTCCCGTTGGCGCTTTAATCTGGGGAAAATTTTTGACAAACCCAGTTTTTTAGCTTAAAGGGTTCAACCTCATAATATCAATTCTCTCTGGCGTATCTTGTTTTGTTGTATCCTTCCTTCCCCGCTTTTATTAATTGCGTTATCTTTCGTTAATAATTAAAAATCATTCAGTTTTTCCTTGGTAACCCCCGTAACTAAGAAAAAATCGGAATCACTGCTCCAATGCATTTTTTACGAAATGCCCAGGCGGGATCAATATCCATTTGATTAAGGAGGCGGTGCTCAACTCGATAGAGTAATCAATTTCGAATAAAAAACGCATAACCTTTAATACCCCTAAAATGGACCGTTTCAAAGATATTTTAATTTAAAGTGAGGACTGCACAACGCTGAAATCAAAAAATATGGATTTTGAATAAGTGGTATCCACGGCAACCAATGACCATGGTCACAAAAATCCCTACCAGGCATCTGTTAACTTTGACGATAAATTTTTGTGAATTTTTTATAAATTAAATGCTACGAGATCGATTTGGATTTATTGTAGATTTTGTTTGGAGTCTGAAGTAAACTCTTTTATTAAATATTTTCGATTAATTGTCTAATAATCGTCCAATATCAAAGTTGACAGATGCCTGACAGCGATTTGTGGGATCATGGTCATTTGTTGCCGTGGATATCATTTATTCAAAATCACTATTTTTTGATTTCAGCGTTGTGCAGTCCTCAGTTTAAATTAAAATATCTTTGAAACGGTCCATTTTAGGGGTATTAAAGGTTATGCGTTTTTTATTCGAAATTGATTACTCTATCTATTTGGGCAATAAAAAATTGGTGTTAAGAGAGCAAAAAAATGGAAAAACACAGAAAATGTGACCTGCAACTGCTGGAACCGGAAATTGAGTGGATGTATCCGGTTTTCGTGATCACCAGTTTAAAGGGTATGTTGTCACAGGGAAATGTTCCAAATTTTATAATATTTGGTCAAATAGTTCCAAAGTTATTACAAAAAAATCAAATTTCCATACCCACATTCCGAGGGCTGTAAAATTCTTATCAGTAGAGATAGGACACGAGTTATTATTTAAATTAATATCATTTTATACGTCATTTTTGAGGTTCAAATATTGCTTCATATTTATGAATAACCCTGTACTATTTTAGAAAATTGAACTCGATGAAGAAAAGTCCGAGAAAAAGCCCGAGGAAAACACCGTCGAAGAGTCCGTTTAAAATAAAGAAAATGACCCCCAGTAGTTCAGCGAAAAAGAAATTGGCTATGAGATTTAGACAGATGTCGGGGGAGTTTGAGAACTCCAATTCGAGTTTTTCCAGTTGTTCGTCGAATCAGTCAGTTTTGAGCTTCAAGAGGTCGCTGTTTGGTGGTGATAGAGATATAGGTAAGAAAATTTTTCATTTCATTTCAGTTCATTGATGAGACAATTTTTTTAATAATTTTTCTTTCCAATTACATTATCTGCTTTTTTAAGTAAAAGACAATTTTATCAATACATTTTTCTTCTAGAGTTTGGAAAACTTCAATATTTCCATGTTAATTTGAGTTAGGAAAGTTCAAAATCCATTTATTGAAATTCTACATGACTATTTTTCATCTGTATTATAAATATTAACAGTAACATTGTCACAATTTCTAAATGAAACTCCAGCACAAGCCTTACTCAAATTAGAAACAGAGCTACTATTTACGTAAACCTCTTCTTTCTTTTCCAATATTTTTGCTGCTACTTCCAACTTATGTCCAATTGAGTTCTCGATATATCCTTCGGCCACATTGCTTGATTTCCATGAACCAACACTCATTGATCATCTTTACTCTTTTTTCGTTCCACCAGTTGTGAAATTGACAATAAGCATTTTCATACTTTCCTTTGGACTTCACAGGTAATAAAGATTGAACCGCCAATGCACCCGATTCTTTTACATCAGACGCTTCGCTTGAATCAGACTTTTTAATAAAATCTTCTCCACGAACTTTTTTCTCGCTTTCACACATTTTGTTTTTTTTTACAAAGTTATTTCTCTACAGGGTGCTCCAGAACTCGCGCCCCAGAGAAAATTTTCAAGTAAGATACCAGGAACATGAAAAAAATGTTTAAAAAAATTCTATCCCCCAAAAAATTTTGACATTTACTTTCTGACATTTGACATTTTTTTATATCTATTTAATGATACTGATGATCTTGTATATGTTTTTTTTACAATTATTTAGTAAAGGGACAAAAATTTTGCCAATAAAAGCCCATTGAACAGGAACAGAGTTACAATTTAGGATACAACTTCCTTGTTTCCTCTTTTAACAGCCTATAGCAAAAAAACTTGGAAAATTATTTTTCCAACAGAAATAAATAGAGTCAAAGTGCAAATTTTACACCCTCATAACTTCGAAATTTTTATAGATAAAATTTTTTTAACATTTTTTCTATGTTCCTGGTATTTTACCTTATATGGCGTTTTTCTCTGGGGCGCGAGTTCTGGCGCACTCTGTATAGTAACGAACGCAAACATTTCGATCGCATTTACAATTTGTTTCTAAATATGTATTTTTTATTATAAAATTTATAAAGTTTTTCAAACTCTAGTAGAATAAACCATGTGTGTAATTCGTAGGAAATATACAGGATGTTCCGTCTAAACCCCACATTAGAAGTATTGGGAGTTTGAATAATCGTATTTATTTGAAAATTGGTACATAGCCATAAACCATTAAGTCCTCTTAAATGAAAATATTTTTAAGATGGCGGCACTTCCGGTTATACCAGAAGTTGGTCTCAACTTTCTTATTTTAAATGTCAAGGTATATTTTTTACTGCGTTTCTGGATTAATCGGGTCATTTTAAGGAAGTTTTCATCAGCTTACTCTATTCCTAAATTTAGACGTTTTTGAAATATTTAGAGTTTTCAAAAATTTTTGGATCTGTACCTTTCACTTTAAAAATCGGTAACTCATCCATTTTTTAATATTTTGAATTCGTTTTTTTGGCGTTTGAAAGAGAAGGCTCAGATTCTTTTTCTGGTGTTTTCAAATTTTGAAGAAAAAAATAACACATCCCAAAATTTTAAGGTTATTTTTGTAATAATCCAAATACTCATAACTCAGTTTTTTCAAATGGAATACCCCATTTTTTATTTTACTAAATAGAAGAGAATTTAATTGTGCATTGATCTGTATTAACATTCCCTATACCTAAATTTAATAATTTTCAAATTATGGACTTTTTGTTATGACTACAGAAAATTTATTACTAGCCACACCCGTTTTCACATAGTTTGCTATGGAAAACAAAAATGTCAAAATTTTCTCTAAACAAACGTCAACAGTAAATTACTATTTGACAAATAGTGCCAAAATATGGAGAATCAAAGTTATGCAAACTTAATTATTATTGATAGGTTCTACCATGCGATTATTATTTAAAGCTAACAAGAGAGAAAAGTTTATTTTTGTTTAATGAACGACATCATAATGTTGTTACACTCTCCATAAATACAAAATAAATTAATTAAATCTAAGTTTGAGTAGCTTTGATTACATATTTTGGCACTATTTGTCAAATAATAAGTCACTGTTGACGTTTATTGAGAAACAATTTTGACATTTTTTATTTCCATAGCAAACTATGCGAAAACGGGATTTTCGGCAGTCTTAACAAAAAGTCACCATAACTTAAAAATTATTAAATTTAGGTATAGGGAATGTTAATACAGATCGATGCAGAAATAAATTCTCTTCCATTTAGTAAAATAAAAATTGGGGTATTTTATTTGGAAAATTTGAGTTATGGGTGTTGAATTATTATAAAAGTAACCTTAAAATTTTAGGGTTTGTTAATTTTTTTTTCAAAATCTGGAAACACCGGAAGAAAGATCTAAACTTTCTCTTTCTTTAAAAAATAGCAGAGTTACCGATTTTTAAAATGGAAGGTGCAGATCCAAAAATATTTGAAAAACTCCAAATATTTCAAAAACGGCTAAATTTAAGTATAGGGAACGCTGATAAAAATTCCCTTCAAATAAACCGATTAAGCCAAAAACGCAGTAAAAAATTTACCTTTCCATTTAAAATAAAAAAGTAGAGACCGACTTCTGGTATAACCGGAAGTGCCGCCATCTTGAAAATATTTTCAATTAGGAAGACTTAATGGCTTATGGCTATGTACCAATTTTCAAATAAATATGATTATTCGAACCCCCAATACTTTTAATGTGGGGTTTAGACGGAACATCCTGTATTTTTTCCGTATACGGCATGTTTTAAAATTTCATGCTTAATACGGAAAAATAATACATTTCATATCTCATTGCACAAATAGCTATTTTAACACGTATGTAGGTGCTTGACACGTTTTATTTATTTTTTAAATTCATTGTGTAAATACGCATTACAGGGTCATTCAGCGGTCCCATCGAAAAGAAATCTACAAAAAGAGCATTATTCTCATCTCCGTTAAAACACTCTCCCAAAAAATCGCCATTTAAAACTGGCAAACGGAAACGCATCGATTTCGACGAAGGCAATCCCTCGAAACTACCTCGAAGTTCTTCGCTAAATGTATCAAAACCGGACCAAAAACCAAGCTTTAATCGATCTTTAAGCGACACAACATCGAAACTAAACTCCTCAAAATCGGAAGAATTGAGTGATCAGCACAAGAAGAAACTTCAGTGGGCAGTTTACGAATCTTTGAGATTGCAAAACGTGACCCCCACTCATCCTCAATATAAAGTTTTCGCGTCAGTTTTGGCTCGCGTGACGCGAAAGTTTTTACCGGGGTTGAAATTTGAGGGAAGAACGACGGAAAAAATGTTCAGGATTGCCCGTCATCATTCGTATGCGGTGGTGAAGGGGAAGACTGTGGATGAGATTGTGAACGAGTATGTGAAGAATAGGATAAAGAATCAGAAGCCTCAGGGATATATAGGGATTGAGGAGTTTAACGGGTTGAAGAAAGATGAAGTTTCGGATAAAGAAAATATTTTGCATGACAGGTCGAATAGTGAAAATATAGAGAAGAGAAGGGAAGTTCCAGGACCTAAAACGAGGTTCCTGAGTAGCAATAGGATCGAAAGAATAAAAAAAGTCATTTCTTTTGATGAAAAAGATTCGTAGTTGATTTAAGGTCTTTTTTTCGGATATCCAGTGCAATAATTGGATGCACGTTACGTAGGGTTTGGATAGGATAATGTTTTTAACTGATAAAATGTCATGTTTTAGTCTGCGACCTTATGTTTACTACTTTGTAAGTTTTAAATAAATAAAGTTTGAATTGTTTTTATTACGTTTTTTACAAACATTTAGTCATCGGTAGAGGAAATCACAATTATTATCGACCTTATCTAATCTCAAACATTATAAAATTGAGTAAGAAAAGTTTTTATCACAAAAGTGGTAACAATGGGATCGGCAACAAGTAGTTTTGCATTGTTAACCGAAGATATTTTAGATGAATATTCGATGTTGACCTACTTAAGTAAAGCTGAAATTTTAAGGTAAATAGCGGTTTATCTAATTTTTTAATAATGAATTTTTTTGACAAGATTATACAAAATTTTTTCAAATTTTGGTACCGAAACCCTTCAAAATTTCCATCACCGCTACTCTGTAAATCAAGTGGAGTTGGCTTTTCCGCAGCTCAAGGTAAATAATAATTTTCAAAATGTGTGTCAACAATATTGTTTTCAGTATAATCCGTTTCGAGATAGGATATACAAAGTGTTTTCGTCCGAAAAAGACGGGAAATTATCATTCGAAGATATCCTGGATTTGTGTTCAGTGATGTCGCAAAAATGTCCCGATAAAGTGAAAGCGGCGTGGGCATTCCGTATTTTTGGTAAGTTTTTTGTTTTTTAAAACGGGGGATTTACCCTGTTTTTCAGATTATGACGAAGATGGCGCTGTGGGTGAAAGGGATTTGATGATGGTCATGGACAGGTTAACAGACTGGCAAAATAGCGGCAATCGGATTGACAAAAACGATCAAAAACATATTGTGCAAGTGGTATTTTGCAACATTTTTTTTATTGTTTTGTTTACATTTAGTTGCAGTTGTTGAAAGAAATGGACTTGGAATCGAACGGCACGATTGGGCAATTGGAATTCGAACACGCAGTCGGAAAAATGTCAGAGTTTCCGCATTCTTTCCGATTTGCGTTTTAATCACATTTTTAACATTGTTCCATTTTTGTACCTACACACAAAAATAATAAAACGTTATCTTTTGTACTTAATATCGCTAATTGGGTCATAGCGTCCGGTGAGAGCCCGATCTGGCAATAAAGGACTTTTATAACTTCGCTCCAAAGTGAGAGGGAGAACTTGTGGACTTTTATATTTGACATAAAATCGAGGACTTTGCAGATATTTCCTAAAACAATGAAATTAAATTTTAGTGTCATTACTAGAAGTGAACTCACGTTGTGGGATCTGGTGCACACTGATAAGTAAAATCTGTAGTTTTGAAATAATCCAAAGGATGGAGTTTGCCCATTTGGTCTTTGTACTGATCACGATGCAGCTGACAAGACATGTAAAAGTCATCAATTTCCTTTTGTCGCCCCACATCCAACATCGTGAAGCGCGACTGGGGCATCCTTATGAATTTATCCAAATTGTTGGCTTTGTTTAATAGAGCTATGTCGGCTTTAGGGGTGTATTGAATATGTATATCGCCCCATTCATAAGGAAGAGACTGGAAAAGTTATGCTACTACAAAAATTACAAAGAAAAAGGGAAAAGCTTCACATGCATTCTGGATAAATGCTCATTTCTGTAGTTTTGGAAGTAAGACATGCTACCATTTGGGTTGTTGTAGGTACTCGGATGGGGCGGACTCACACCCATGAAGCCGGGGGTTATGGCAGGGGGGTAATGGGTGGGATTCATTTTGGAAATTACACTGTCAATTTTGAAAATGCGAGAAAATGTTTTGTCAAAATGACTTTTTTCTAATTTGCATTTATAATACGTTTATTAACGTCTATTATCAGTAGGAGTCGTTTATCTAAGGTGGTAACCATGCGAAAATTCAAACAATCCTAAACTCAATATTCCCTAAGAATTATTTTTTCAAATAAATGTGTACCCCATGTAGCAAAAAATAGTTAAACTTAACAACGTAATCAACATAGGATAGAAAACATAAAGATTTTTGTCAATATTGATGTGATTAAATTTGTTTTGAATGACATTAATGAAACTTTTTGTAAATTAAAGATTCATTTAGACTTCTACAACCTGCTTGATGCACATTAATATGAAAAAGAGTATATCTATAAAAGCGCACTGTACTTTAATGAATTTAGGGTTATTTAGTTTTTGTATGCCGCTTCTGACTTGTCAGGTAACAAATTTTGCGTTGTTGCTTCGACAATTTCGCGAATTTCGGGCGGAGTGCAAACTAAATTCTGTTGGCTCATATTTTATTTATTATTATTATGTTGTAACACTAATAACTAATAATTTGTGAATTTTACTTTTAATGACAGACGGCAGAAATGATTCAAAAAATCAGGTGGGCGCCGAGTGTTACCAACCGATACCAACTAACACAAAATTCTCTAGACAACAAAAATTTATTTTATTTTTAATTAAAATAAGAAAATAGGGGGCGCAAATTAGAAAAAATAGGATAAAATACTCGTGTAATAATGACTTTGCAGCACTCATCCCATAGAAAACTCGCCTACGGCTCGTTTTCTAACTTGGGATTCGTGCTCCAAATCAACCCTTATAAAACTTGTTTTTTAATATACATACTATACTATTTGTCATCTATATGTTTTGATGATTTTTAAAAGACCAAGTTTAATTACATAATACAGAGTGTTTCACACAACTTTACGAGGCTTGCGCCTAATGTACGCACGTACGCACCCAGATATACAAAAGTCACAAAACACTAGATACAAAAAATACACATTTAGTTATTCAATTTTTGGAAACCGATGACAGTAGTTGTCAAACTAATCACTGTTTCATTAATAATCATAAACTGCAGTTTCTCAGACACAATTATCATTTGTTTTATCAAGAGACGACATGAATATGATTCTAGTTTATCTATCTTAATCACTAATTAACTAAAAACGTTGTGATTTTTGAAAGGGGTGAACAAACTAAAGAAGATTATCCAATTTTTCAAAATTTGTAATCGAGTTCGTATCGGAATATGTATTACAGGCGTAGGCCTCGTAAAATTACGTGAAACATTCTGTATAATAATACAATAATTAAAAAATTTATAAAATTGAAAGTGTCCTGAACTGAAAATGTTTTTTTTTTAACTTGACCATTATGTGCCGTGTAAACAGCCCTTTAGACTAACACATTTAAAAAATCCTATAATTTTAGCAATTAAATGATTAATTAGAAATTAGTTTCATGAGCATTTCTGCGTTACTAATCACTAACAAAAAAAGTTATCGTAATCCCCGCCTTCCGGAGAACTGCGCAATGACTCACGTGAAGGCACCTTTAGTCATCGCTAGTTTATTTTGGTTGTTGAAATTAGGTTAGTTATCTGTCAAAGTTTATTAATCAATCCATTTAACAAAAAGACGCTTTGTGGCAATTTTCTCAAAGGTAAATCACATTAATTTTTCAATAGTGCGATTTTCTACCAATTAAAATGAACTATTTTCACTTTTGAACCATTATGTTGCAAGCAGTCCTCTTGTCGATCTTTCTTACAATTTTAGGTTTTTCCCTTTAAATGCTCATTAGAATTAGTGCAAATTAACTAATATGGTAATTATGGACGTACATTATTCAACTGACAGACTCAGGGAAGTATGGCAAGCAGTTGACCAACTTCATCTGAGTTACTTGGAAATGGAGGAAAGTCCAGAGAAACTCGAACACAGGATGCGTTTAGAAGGTGCTTGATTTTAGATTTCTAGTAGTTTTGCTTTAATTGTGATTTGTAGATTGTATTCGAGAATATTTGTGTATGGCGTCAGACTCACAGAAGTTTGTTTTACGAGAGACTGGAGACGTCTTGTATCGCTCTGCAACCACTAAACGGGATTTCAGCGGATATAAAGCAGCTACAGGTTGGAATGCTATTCAAATATATGCCGGAAATTTATTGTCACAGCCGTGGCGAAAGGAGTATAGACAAATAAAGGTACTAGAATCGGTATTTTAATTTCGAGACGCTTAATTAGTGTTTCTAGACATATTGTGGCTTTTACAAACATCAAATCGAAGCTAATCTTGTTGGAGCAGAAATTATGTTTGAAGTAATGGGGTATAGGAACTACAGTAATGGTGTTATGATCCTGGAAGGACCCATTTGTCCTGATACAGTCACTTCTGTTTCTAAAGATTGCCTTATAGCTTACGTAGAGTGCCAAGTATTTCCACAATTAACATGTAAATTATTTATTGATTTTTCTTATTTTAGATTTTGAAACACATTTGGGAGGAAATTTCACCCACATACAAAATAACTTGGTTGGAAGTTTTAGAATTTCGCAAAACACACCTTTGTACTCCAGAACAATCTATTAGAGCTTTAAATTATCAATATTACGAGAAGCAGTTTCAAGCACAAAACTCTGATTATAATAGGTGTCACCAAGCAGTTCCTCCCGTAGTTCAGTACTCCCAAGTAACACCCCATAGTCACGTTCCTGTTACCCCCATGCCCTATATTTACGGTTCAACTTGTTGTCCAAATAATTACGCTACTTACGCTCATGTACCTTATTCCGTGCCCTTGCAATATCCGCCACATGTCGTGAAATCTACTTTCTCCAATGGTTATTATTGCACAAATGGTTACATAAATCAACAGCCCCCATCGTACGAGTATGGGGTACCCACAGGACAGTTAATAGAACTAGATTCGCATCAAAATGGGGGGTATGACGCTGTTGATCGTCCCACGAATAGTTTACGAGTACATAGGAATTCATTGAGTAATCACGAGAAAAAAATTAATGAGGCAAAGACTGCGAACAGTAAAGTAGTGGTAAGTGATTTAATACACTTTTATGCTTTATGGAAATTAAAATTGTTGGAAATTGCGTGCATTATGGTACAATCAGCGTAGAAAAGATTGTCCTAATAAACCACAACAATAAATCTTTTCCCTTGTAAACGTCATTTCATATTTAACAGTATATTTAGTTTGAAGTGAAGCTTAGTTACCGATTTTACTTTCAATTGAGTAGATAAATAAAAAATATTTTGAAAAATTTACAACTTTATACCGCAATTAAAAGTTAAATTAAAAAATTATTTTAATGAATGTTTGATGTTATTTATTTACTAAGATAACAAGTAAATGCCGTTTTAAATAGCATAATTAAATAAACAATATTATTATTAGTAATACCTAATAAAAACCATTTATTGTTAGACATTAAAATGACCAAATCTAACCAGAGGCAATTTAACATAACTCTTTAATTTATTGATAGCTTAATTCTTTTTAATAAAGTTGCATTTGACAAATTAAATAATTTCATATCATTTTTATTCAATCCAAACAAACTTTGGACTTTGGTTTTGGTAATAATTTGTTTATTAATAGGGTAGACAGTTCTCCAATGGCTAGGATTGTTTTTTTAATACACAAAAATTAAAATTGATTAATTTTGTTTTAGTAAAATAACTGAACTGAACAATTATTAGCAAAAACAAATTTGTAAATTTGTTACAATTGTTTTGCGATTGCAATATCTTGGTTGCAAACATCTCAATACTTCAATTTAAATATTCCTTTTTTGTAAACGTTGCCACGAGTTTAAAAGAGTTAGCACGTCTACCTGTTTGAATTGAATAAAAATTAATAATGAAATGAAATGAAATTATTTAATTTATTATTTACAACTTAAAAAAATGAGTATCAATATTTTAAAGAGTTATTTATTAAATAGTCTCATTTGGTCATTTTAATTTCTAATAATAGATGGTTTTTATTAGGTATTTCTAATAATAATATTGTTTATTTAATTTTGCCATTTAAAACGGCATTTACTTGTTATATTGGTAAATAAATAGCTAATTAATCATCAATTATAATTATTTTTAATTTAATTTTTAGTTACAGTATAAAGTTGTAAATTTTTTAAAATAATTTGTCACTTACTCAATTGAACGTAAGACTAAGCTTCACTTTAAACTAAATATGCTGTTGAACAAGAAATGACGTTTACAGTAGAAAAGATTTATTGTTGTGGTTTATGGGTTCAGCCTCAAAGGGTCCTCGCGGTTTATTAGGAGGACAATCTTTTACCTAAAATACACTGTTATTTGATAAAACAATTGGAAACAATTAGCTCAGTTGAAATTAAAAAAAATAGTTTTGGAAAGTTTAAAATTGTGAAAAATTGCCAATTTTGAAAACTTTACAGAATTCAAAAAAAATATACAAAAGTGTGGTAACTTTTAGATCTCAGCAACGAAAAAAAATCAAAGAAATATTTGGGTGTTGTGGTTATAATTGTTTAGTTTGTGTTTTATTAATAGCAATTATTATAAATTATAAACTAAAAAAAATATACCTTAAATTAATTAATGCATTTTTTTACACTTACATTTTTTTACGCTGTTTAACAAAAAATTGCTAAAAAAATACTTAAAGTTAAATTAAAAAACTAGGAGGAAAGTCTGTTTTTTTAAATGGAAATGTCAAACAGTCTTAACGTTGGCACCACTAATAAATTCATTCATGGTAATTTTAATAAAGGAAGTTGGCAGTTTCGGTTTTGTGCATTAATTTTAAAACAATGTCGTTAAACGTGAACACAAAAAATCGTCTAAGAAAATTTTGATACGAAACAGGCACACAACATTCATAAAAGTCAAAATTTTGACAACATCTCAATTGGAAAACATAACTATAATTTTTTAACAAAATTTCTGGGTACAAAAACAAAGGGCAAACAACATTTGTGGCTATGGAGACAAGCTGCTACAAGTTTTTTCACCAAAATTTTGACTTGGTAATTTCCATTTAAAGAGAAAACAGACTTTATATAGTTTTTTTTGTGTTGAAATTTTATAAATTGAGATTTAAAAAATCTCGTATACACTTTACTTATTTCAAGTGGAGATTTGGTAATTTAAAAAAATATATGAATTGATTCCACGACTAAGAATTTAGTTTGTTAATAATAAAGTTTGGATAAAGTTTGTTGATAGTAAAGTTAATGGAAAATTTCTGTCAAACCACAATAATTTTGCTACTAAACAACAACTTAAAGAGGCATTGATTAAGTTTCATACATTACTACATCTTCAAAAGTTAATTAGAACTATTTTTTATATACAGGGAGTCCCAGCGAGTCGAAAAAGTTCATTTGTGACCTTTTTTTTTTAAGGTAAAAATTATATAGAACATTGATACATACTAATCTAGTCCATCGCCTAAAATTATTTTCATTTCATACAGCGTGTCTCAAAAATAAGTTACAATACAAACTTGTGTTTTTTTAAATGAAACACCGTATGTAGCGTTTTTGGATGTAGATTTTTATGACACTGTTTTTAACTTTTATTGGTTGATTTTGCTTAGTTTTAAAAATAAGACGGTTTTTTTGACGAAAACTTGCACTTTTTAAAAATTTATTACACAAAAACTGAGACATCTAGAAATATTTTTTACTACCGCAAAGCTATAAGGTTGTAATGTGTTGCATTTTCAAAAATAAAAAAAAATAAGTCGTTTGTTAATAAAAGTTCTATAACTTAATAGCTATTAACATACCTAGGATGTAATGAATGTCATAACAGCTGCAGATGTCAGTCTGAAATCCGTGCGAGTTTGCGAGCAAGAATTTTAAGACATCTAAGACTGTTATGACTTTATTACATCCGAGGTTTGTTTAGGATTTTATCGGTTTCTGTCAAATAAGCCAAAAATTGGAACAAATTAAATCCAAAAATTCTAGGATGTAATGAATGTCATAACAGGTGCAGATGTCAGTTTGAAATCCAAGCGAGTTTACAATTTTACAATATCGATATGTCATTTTTCTGACATATTGTAAAATTTTACAGCAATCAATAAGGTTATGCCATAATTACCGGACTATTTTTGTACATGTAACATTGCTCTTAACAGACAGAAACCGATAAAAAATTCAAATGGTACACCCAATTTATTGTTTTTGCATTTATTTATTTACTTTTAGGTGTTTATAGTCAATAACTAAAAAGATACAGTGCTATCAAAATGTCTGTATCTAGCAAGCGTAGAAATTTAAAACGTATGTCTGTGGAAGATAAAATATCACAATGACAAATAAGAAATGTCAAAATATTTTTTATGTAAATTATGACAGGAAACCGTGGTGAACGATTTTTATGAATAAACACCAGCAAAATCTTATTTTAGTTTGTTTTGAGACGTTTCATAGAATAATTCAATTTAATTAGCTCAAATTAATTTTTATACAATAATTTTTTGACATCTAGATAACATACGAACTGCCATGCAACATACGTCCTCAACTAGGATGCCTACTTGATAGAAAGACTTTTTGATCGCACTGTATTTAACGTTAGACATTAAAAAAATAATTACTATTGTTTCAGTAGCCAAAAAGTGCACAGTTGCACAAGAGATGGAAGAAATATCACTTAATAATTACATTTGTATTAAACTGAATCCATTATTCTTTATTTTTACAATAAATTAATTCGAATTTCAGTATTTATAACGACTTTTACAATCTCTGGATAAATCAACGGATTCACTAATCCGTTAAATATTTTTTCATTTATCAATTCTAGACATTAAAAGTTTATTTTTTAGATAGACAATTTATTAACTTATTAAATGCAAAAATAAAAAATAGGGTGTTCCATTTAATTTTTTTAAGGTACTTAACTTTTAACAAACTTCTTAATTTATTAATCTTTACAAATGCCAAAAATTGCTACAGCTTTAAATTCTGTACTTTCTTCGTTGCAGAAGTAAGAAAAAAATTGTTCTAGCAGTCTTAGTTTTTGTGTATTGAATTTTTAAAAAGTGCACGTTTTCGTAAAAAAAGACGTCTTATTTCTAAAACTAAGCGAAATCGACTAATAAAAGTGTAGCGTAAAAACATTATTTTAAAAGGCTACATCCAAAAATGCAAAGAAACATACGGTGTTTCATTTAAAAAAATTCAATTTTGTATCGTAACTTATTTTTGGGACATGCTGTATGGTTGAAAATAATTTTAGGTGATGCATTAGATTAGTATCAATGTTCTATATCATTTTTTTTTTATTTTACGATTTAAAGGTCATTAATGTATTTTTTCAACTCGCTGGGACACCTGTATCACTCCTACATTGTTTCAAGTTTTAAAATTTAAAATAATGGGTTTTAATTTGTATTAACAACAGCCATTTTTCATACTTAACAGCATGAGGAATATTTTGACCCATTAAAACTTTAAGAAATGGACTATTAATCATGTGATGCAACCTTTTTTGCTCTATGCGAATAAGCCCATTGTGTAATGATTAATAATTCTGAATTAGGAAAAACCGGAGTCGCATTTCGAAGATTGGGACTACGTCTACCGCAACTTGGAGAGTCAAGGCTACTCGAAAGATTTAGGGGAGCGCGGAGACATCTTGGGTCAGCCCGTCGAGCACAAAAAATCAAAATGTACAAATCTGGACGAAGCCATGCACAACCTGACAATAACAGAGCGACCGTTGAAGATCAGCGAAGCTTTAGAAAAATACGACGGAGAGCCGGAACCAATTAGGAAAAACGTTCGGAAGCACTCGCAAAGCAGTTCGTACGAAAATTTATCCGAGATTAAGAAACCAAACGTCTCGAAAACGGCCAAGACGAAAACATTGACTGTTCGAGACAAAGCTGTCAATAACAACAATTACGAGGGAAGCAAAGATATCAAAAACACAAACTACAAATGGGAATGCAAGGCGTGCACTTATCACAATGAGACGTCGAAGGACATTTGCGAAATGTGCAGCAAAAGTCGGAGCAATGTGGAGCAACAGATGGAAATCGGGGGGCCACAGTGCTCCAAATGTACGCTGGTTAATTCGAAAGATGCCAAGGTTTGTCAAGCTTGCGATTCTAGTTTGAAGAATTCACCGACTTACATTTAATCGGGTAGAAGTGATAATATGCAAAAACAGGGTTGTGTAATTTTTAGTTCGATTTTGAATAAATAATCATGTTGCTTTTGGAATGTTTTACTTTTCAACTCGATGAAAATTATTTTTATGACAAGAATCGCTTAAATTTTATTGTAAATGTAATGCTATATTTATTGCTGCTTACTATTGTTGATTTTGTAACTTGTTTGTTGACTCATGTTGGAATAAATTTATTTAGTGTATGTGTAAACACTAAACAGATATCTTTGTTTCTTAATCTGTCATCTATGCATTAACAGATAACGGTAAATAAAAAACAACAAACGGAAAAGTGTGTTTTATTTTTATAATTAACACATGAAATTAACTTGAATTGTTGAATGAAAAGTTATGAGTCTCGGTAACTATTGATTTCAGGCCAATTTAATTTAAACAAAAAGTACGATGATACTGTTGTGTGGGAGAATTTCAAATAGTTTTGAATTGTAATTAATATTAGTAATTAGTATATGAATTACATTTTTAGTTTCATCCCTTAATTGAAACCTAAATTACTACGTACTTCGAGTTATCCATGTTTTTCCATATTTGTTGAGTATGTATTACAATATATCATTTTGTACGAAGGTGAATATTTTTTAAGTTTCATAATTCATAAATTCTTCTAATAATTTACAAATAGTTCCAGTATTTTCAAACAATCCGAAGATAATTTTGATAATTTCAAATTCTTCCAAAAAATTTCAAGCAATTTTGATTATAGCTATATCGGTCTATTGGGGTTATAGAGATATCTACTTTTGGTGAGACAGCTTTTTCATTATAAACTAGGGGCAACCTGCTACTTTTCATATATTTTTTAAATCTGTTTTTGATTTTATCTACATTTTGCTTCTTTGTATATAAATTTGTACTTTTCTTTCAATAAATGTATACGTATGTACATTTATTTTTACAATATTTATAAAATGAAGTTGAGAACTGCTCTTATTTTTTACTTGTTTATTTTTATGATGCCAAATTTTTAATACCTCTAAAATCTAAAAATGAAATATTTACAAAATCAAAATAAATATTTGCGTAGGTAAAGAACTGGCCGTTAGTTATAGTTTCGCAAATTTCTCATAAATACGAAGTATTTTGACCGTGTACACAACTTATTAAATACCTTTTAATTTAATAGTGTTCAAAGTATATAAGTACAAATAATCTGTTAGTCATTGGTTCAACTATTTAAATAAAAAAATTAAATTGGGTTTAGTAAATAAATTCAAAAAAAAAGAATTTTTGGAACAGCGGTTCTGCTATATTTAATTCTCATTTCATTGATTTTTATAGGTAGGTATTTAAAATTAAAGAAAAAAAAAACAAATATTTTGCAATCATAATAGATTATTATGATAGTAAAACCACAGGTTAACTGGTTAAAAATTAATTTCTCAAAAACTAAAAACTATGAGTCCTAGGTCAAAACGGTTTGTACAGACGTATTCTCTGGTTAATTTTACATACATTTTCGTTGAAATTTTTTGGGTCGAATTTTGGCACCCGGAGCGGTCTATTGCGAATAACTCCGGATTTATTGCTAATAACTCCTTATATTTGGCACCGTTAGAAAGCAAATTTAATTTTCTATCATATCAAAAAAAGATCAGTGTTCTACGATAAATAGTTATCGAGAAAATTTCTGATAAAGTCAAAAATATCGAAACTATAAATCCGGCTATAACTTCAAAACTACTACGAATTTTGCAGTTTAATTGACGCCAATCGATTCCCCGGAACATTTTACGTATGCTTAAGTCAAAATATTATATCATTAAGCTACAGTTTAGCTGCAATTTATTTTGTTTTTGAACATGTCTCAGATTCAATTTAAACCTATCTCATCCGATAGATTTTGACGCGCTGATTACGAATTTGTCAAGCATTTTGCGCTATCTCCATTTGTTTCACCATAATCGTCGTTTAAAGTTTCAATTTTTTGCGAGATATTGACTTGGCTTTGATGTTAATCAATAGATTTTTTTAGGCTGATTACGATGGTGTTTTTTGCTCTAAGTCTAATAGTTTGGCCGTAATCGTCGTTCAAAAATTAAAACTTGTTGAATTTTAAATACGTTTTTCTACGAAACTATTAGACCTAGAGCAAAAAGCTGAAAACCATTAAAATATACTTTAAATTATCTATCTAACGGCGCAAACAGGAAGTCGCTCCGGGTTATGGCTCCGGGTACAGAGCCATTTTTATTTTTTTCCATAAAAAAATAATTTCTCAAAAACTATGAGTCCTAGGTTAAAACGGTTTATACAGACGTATTCTCTGTTTAATTTTACATATAAAACTGGTTTTTCATAAGAATAAAAAATTTTGAATTTTTTTTGGTTGAAATTTTTTTGGTCGATTTTTAGCACCCGAAGCGAATAACTCCGGATTTATTGCTAATAACCCATTATATTTGCTACCGTTAGAAAACAAATTTAATTTTCTATCATACCAAAAAAAGAGCAGATCAATTTCTGATAAAGTCAAAAATATCGAAAATATGAATTCGATTATAACTTCAAAACTATTAAGAATTTTGCAGTTTTCTTGACGCTAATTGATTCCCCGGAACATTTTACATATGCTTAAGTCAAAATATACAGGATGTTCGGTCCAAGTCGCCCCGGCTGATAACACATAAACTTACTTCTTTTTTTCAAAAAGTAAATATTTAAGTAATAATATTCATTCTGGGCTTTTTTAATAAATATATTAATTTTTTTACGCACATCCGGTGTTGTCAGAAATGCTACCAAATTTAGTTTTTCAAATGGAACACCTATGGTTTTTTTTCTCCAAACAATAATAATTGACATGAAAAATACTGTAAACCACTATCCATTACATTTTGTGTAACACAATGCAATCAAAAAACGTCTTAAATCTTAGAATTTCATAAGGAAATTGGTCGCGTAGCCTGATTTTTAATTTTAAAGGAAAAGTGTCAGTTGATGAGCGAGTTCTCTTATGAAAACTCTTCAATTTTCTTCGACTGATAACAGAACACTCAGATTTCTATTTTCTTGTTCTTCAACCACAGGTTTTTTAGTTTTAAGAAGCGAACCTATTTGTTTTCAGTTTTCAGTTGTTTTTCAATTCGACTAAATTTCCAACGATATGGATGAACTCTATTTGAGTATTTTTCTCTAAACTGTTTTTCAGCTTCCGCTCTATTTTCATTGCACTTAAAAAACACTTCAAGCTGATCTACCAATTTGTCGTAATTAATATCATCCATTTTAAAGATCTCAATAAGATTTATTGACAAATTAGGCTTTGTCAAAATAACAGTTAAACGGTATCCAAGCATATTGCTTTTTGCATGAATTCCTTGACAAGTAAAATTCGCCTACGTTACAAAATTTGCAATAAAATTCAAAAATTTAAATTGTTTTCTGAGTGTATTATGTAAAGTAAAATGTAATAAATAGTGGTTTACCGTATTTTTCATGTCAATTATTATTGTTTGGGGAAAAAAAAATATAGGTGTTCCATTTGAAAAACTACATTTGGTATCATTTCCGGCTACACCGGAAGTGCCAGAAAAATTTTATGCATTTACCAAGAAAACGCGGAATGAATAGTATTATTTGAAAATTTAGTTTAAAAAAAAAGTAAGTTATCGGCCGGGGCGATTTGGACCGAACATCCTGTATATCATTGAGGTATAGTTTTGCTGCAATTTACAAAATAAAAAAGAGTAAAAATTATGATCTAGTGTTTTTGAACATGTCTCAGATTCAATTTAAACCTATCTCATCCGATAGATTTTGACGCGCTGATTACGAATTTGCCACACATTGTGCGCTATCTCCTTTTGTTTCGCCGTAATCGGCGTTTAAAGTTTCATTTTTTTTGCGAGATATTGACTTGGCTTTGATGTTAGTCGATAGATTTTTTTACGCTGATTACGATGGTGATAAGCTTTTTGCTTTAAGTCTAATAATTTGGCCGTAATCGTCGTTCAAATATTAACAATTGTTAAAACTGTGAAATTTTAAATGCGTTCTGATTAACTAACTAATCTGTGGTAAAACTTTAAATATTAATTTCTCCCGAAGAAGTGTTCTTGAAATCGGGAAAAGGTCGAATGAAACACTACGGAAGCTTCGAGAGTATTCGGTAACGGTCGATACACACACGAATAGAAGATTCTTGAATGAACATTCGGGAAAACTTCGAGAATATTCGGGACGATTTTGCCGTTTCATATATAAGAGCGCTGGCGCGGCGCGCTGTCAGTGAGATTTGAACAAGCAAAGCGAAACAAAAGCGATCAAAGCAACTTTAATAAACTTGAGTGAATTGTTTTTTATTAGTGAAATCAAAGTAAATCCAAAAGTGCAAAAATGGTGAAATCTCCAGCAGTTGGTATTGACTTGGGAACAACCTACTCCTGCGTTGGAGTGTGGCAACATGGAAAAGTCGAAATCATCGCCAACGACCAAGGTAACAGAACAACCCCAAGTTATGTTGCCTTCACCGACACCGAGCGTCTTCTCGGAGACGCTGCCAAGAACCAAGTTGCCATGAATCCCAACAACACTATCTTCGACGCAAAACGATTAATCGGAAGGAAATTCGACGACCCGAAGATCCAGCAAGACATCAAACACTGGCCCTTCAAAGTCATCAACGATTGTGGCAAGCCGAAAATTCAAGTCGAATACAAGGGAGAAATTAAGAAATTTGCACCGGAAGAAATTAGTTCAATGGTGCTAACGAAGATGAAAGAAACAGCTGAAGCTTATTTGGGAACTAGTGTGAGGGACGCCGTCATCACAGTCCCAGCATATTTCAACGACTCCCAAAGACAAGCCACGAAAGACGCCGGAGTCATCGCTGGTTTGAATGTCATGAGGATAATTAATGAACCGACAGCAGCAGCATTAGCTTATGGTTTAGATAAGAACTTGAAGGGTGAAAGAAACGTCTTGATCTTCGATTTAGGTGGAGGTACTTTCGACGTATCCATTTTGACTATTGACGAAGGATCGTTGTTTGAAGTACGAGCCACTGCAGGTGATACCCACCTCGGTGGTGAAGACTTCGACAACCGTCTTGTCAACCACCTCGCCGACGAATTCAAACGCAAATACAAAAAAGATCTGAGAAGCAATCCGAGAGCTTTACGACGTTTGAGAACCGCCGCTGAAAGAGCGAAACGAACCTTGTCTTCGAGCACTGAAGCATCGATTGAAATCGACGCCCTCTTCGACGGCATCAACTTTTACACCAAGATCAGTAGAGCAAGATTTGAGGAATTGAATGCTGATCTATTCAGA